TGAATCTATGCCTCACCTCAGAACTCTTTTTAAAGGCTGCCTTCCTCTCCTATACTTTCCCCACCAAAGATGGATCTCTAATAAGGCCTTTCCTGAAAGAGTCTGGCACCTGTTTATAAGCAGCAGATGCTTCCTTGTATGAGGAATGGGGCCATCATTGGCTGCCACCACCAAATGAAGCCTTCCATTTGGGGCTTCTGGAGACAGAATGATAACTAGTTGAGCATGCCAATCCCCTTTGGCTTTCACTCCTCCCCTGCCTGTCCCTCCAAGTGTGTTCAAGTCCTTCCTTTCTCCCACTATTTTCCCCTTTTCCTAGGCTCTGTATTTTTCAACTTTCTAACTTCTTTTTCTACTCTTTTCTTACCAGTACCCCAGATTACAACTATGACACCTCTGTATCTTTCCCAGATAACAGAGCTCCCAGTTCCTTCAGCCACCTCAATGCCTGGTGTTACCTAGGTGTGTCCCCCTCACTTTGACATAGGATCCCAGGACAGGCAGTGTAAACAATGTGTCGAATGGCTCTGCTAGAACTTGGAACCAAAGGGGAAGAGACAGTTGAAGGGAGGGAATATGAGTCCTATCTGTAGGTGGTAAGTACACTGTCCTCTCCTGACCGACTTCCTATAGTATTGCAGTGCCCGAAAAGATGCAGGGTTTTGACTGCATAACGATAAGGCCCAGTTAAGCTGAGCTGAGCTGCTGATTCAAACTGGTTCCTAGACTCAAAAGGATAATAACCTATCTGCATAGTTAGCCAAATGGGATGTCTCAGGATGGCAAAGTGATGACGTATCAAACTTTGAAATATCTCACTTGGTTGTGATTTGTTTTCACCCTTGGTAAGGGCCAAAAAGCACTGTACTATTTGCAGATACTGTGTAGGCAGCTCAGTGGCACAGTGAAGATAAAGCATTGGGCCTGGAGTCAGGAAGACTTGAGTTCAGACGCTTAGAAGCTATGTGATCTTAGGCAGGTCATTTAACCTCTCTCTGCTTCAAGTTTCTTTGACTATAAAACAGGGATAATAAGAGCACCTACCTCACTGGGTTGTTGTGAGGATGAAATGAGATAATGTTTTTAAAGAGCTTACCATGTGCCTGCACATAATTAGGTGCTTAATAAATGCCTCTTCCCTTCCTCATCATTCTTGGTAATGGCTGCTGTCAGCATATTATATAGTATAGGTATTATATAACCATGTGGCTGACGGTCCCAACATTAATGTGGGTTTGTCCTTCACTTAAGTCTTCCTGACTGCCACAGCAAGGGCCTCAAAATGGTAAAGGACTTTTACCTAGAATTGGGCCTGTGTAGAAAAAACTGGTCATAACCTGAGAATAAAAGCCTCTTAATGGGGGGCTGGTAAGAGACATGGAAAATAACATTTCCCAAACTTTACCTTTTTCTCAATCCCTCATTTTTACTGACCTTGATGAGGTTTAGGATCTGGAGCATTTCCTTAACCATCTCAAAAGGTTGTGCAGCAACTGGTAGTACTGAGAAGGAAAAGGGAACCAGCTACTACAGTAAATGAGACCAGCCAATCAACAAGTGTTTATTAGGCACCAATCATGTGCCAATACACTCCCCTGGGCAGTGAAGGCTACAAACACCGAGTAGTGATAATGTGCTGACCTTCCTTCCGTGCCCCCAGCACGGTCACTTCCTGCATTCCCTGCTTCTCCCTTGCCCATCATTCCCCTCCCTCCCTCTATCCTTGTTTCCCAACCTCTTCCCCCACCATATTTTATTTTTACATTATTCGACAGGCCCCTGCCCCTCTGCTCTCTCCCTTGTACAGCTCCTCCTTGGGCACCCAGCCTTGCCTTTTCCTCCTCAACCCTCCTACATCACTCCCCTGGACACTTGGATTCCATCCGCGCTCCCCCCTCCTTTTCCTAAGCCGTCCCTCCCAATCCTCCCCATCGGTTCTGCACTTCCTTGGGTTCAAGGACCTTCAGCTTCGCCCCACCCCGCCTTCCAACCGCTGGGGTCACATGGCGATGGAGCGGTGCTGTCACGACGAGGAGACAGTACCATAGGAAACAAGAAGTGCTACGCTGTTGAGGTGATGAAAATACTGGAGCGCACTAACAACCTCCTGTGTTATCCGGAAGTGACGTTGTATAAGGGAGAGCAAGGCGTTTGAGAGGTTTCAAGGACTTCCGGCGGAATGGGGTGCCGGAAGAAAACTGAAGACCCATGTTCCAGGGGTCAGCCGGCTACAAGATCCCATAATGCATCACCGTGAAGGACAAGGAAGTCCCTCCCCTTTCTGCCGTAGCCTCATGGGGATTGTAGTCGTTTCCTGAAGACACGTTCAGAAGGAGGTGAAACTTAGATGGAGGCAGGCCCAAGCTTTTACTGGGGAACAGTGGAACCTTTCTTCCCAAATACTACCTCAAGTGGGACAGATGGCTCAGTAGGCACTCTCCTGATCAGAAACCTTTGGTGGGTCTCCCAAGTCCCAAAGCTGGCATGGTGGTGCAATGGAAAGAGCAGGGATTGTCAGTCTTAAGAGTCATAAGACCTAAGCTCAAATCCCCTTTCTTATACTTAATTGAATGTGTTACCCTTGTAGCTCACCTCATTACTCCTGAACTTCAGATTCTTTATTTGGTATTGCTCACAATACCAATATCACAATGTTGTGAAGGAAGAGTTTTGAAAATTTGAAGTACTTTAATAAAGTCTGAACTCTTTGGGCAAGCATTCAAGGCCCACCATCATCTGATCCCTACAAATTTTACCTTTCCAACCCCATCTCCCACTAGTCCCCCTATATCTGTTTCAGTCCCAGACAAAATGGTTATACATCTCGTTTTCCAGCTTCTATTTCTCCATCTGGAACGTCCTCAGCTAACTCATCTCTGAAGCAAATCTAGCTTCAAACCCACCTAATATTTGTCTTCCTGAACCCTTCCCCCAAATATTCAACCAAAAGTTAAGGATTCTCAAAGTACTTTGAGAGTGCTCAAAGGCTTTTCAGGATAAGAACTGGAGTTGTGACTTCACAGATACAAGGAGCTCTCCCTATATGGAACACCCTTTACCAATGCAGGTCAGCAATTTAATCTGGAACATACAGCTTTAGAGGTGCTCAAAGCAGTGAGAGTTTAAGGTCATACAGCCACTGTGTGTGAGAGTCAGGGCTTGAGCTCACGTCTTCTTGACTCCCTGACCAGCTCTCTTTTATGCCCTCTATGGTTAGATGTGGATGGCTAATCAGAAAAGGAAATTGAAATTGAACAAAAAATAAACTCCCAAAGAAAAAAGTCCAGGACCAGATCAGATGTATTTACAAGTAAATTCCATAAAATAATTAAAAGAACAATTCCAATATTCTATAAACTGTTTGCAAAACAGGAAAAAGGATCCCACCAAACTCCTTTGATACAAAAATGGTCTTTAAAACCTAGAGGGTGACAAAGAGAAAGAAACCTATAGGCAAATATCTTTAATGAATATTAAAAATTTGAAAGTGGCTATATATTATTAAAAAGATTATACACTATGACCAAACTGGATTTATGCCAGGAATGCAGAGTTGGTTCAATATAGAGAAAAAAACATAGTTGCATAGTGTTTCATAAATCCAAAGATCTAAACTACTGGGGTAAACCCCAAATGTATATTTGTGCATGTTTAATCCACTCCCCCCCATTTTTTTTTTTTTGAGGAACAGCTTCTCCATATTTGTACCTGATTCAGCACTTATCCCACGGACTTTAACTTGTGAGGTACTCAATGTTTAATGAATGAATAAAAGACTTGGAAAATAGGAATCCATTATTAGACAACTAATGTTTGAGAAGACCTTTCTCATCTGCCCAAGAAAATAGCCAAAGGACACAGACTGTACAGTATGTGGGGCCATTCTGCCCTCTACTGTAAAATCATATCTAGATGAAATAGGAGTGCCTTGCCTGTCCCCCACCCCCACCCCACAATGGCCACTACATACTACAGAGAGAAACTTTGTTAGATTTAATTCTTATTGCCCTGCTGGGAAAGGGAGGGGTAAATCCATCATTCCATTATCATTCTAATTAGAATTTTTAACAAATTTAGCTGACCTAGGAAAAAAAATTGCCTTTCCTCTAGGATTCTAGGGAAGGTCCCAAAGTTACACTTCCCAACCCATCATAAACCCCACCTCTGTCCTTGGGGGAAGTCTGCCAGAATCCCAAAGTAGGGAGAGGTTGGAGTAATGAGAAACAACCAAAGGATTTAGTTTGGGGCTGGCTTTTCCCTGTCTCTATCTTCATCTACCCTTAGGAACCCATGTATCTTATCTTCTTCCCCCCTCCCCCCCTTTAGCACTTTCTGATAGTGTAGAGGCTTAAGGTACTGTACTTTTAAATCAGGAAAACATGGGAGATTCAACTCCCTTCTAACCTGTATGGTAATTTACCCCTCTGTACCAGTTTCTTTATCTGTATAGGGAAGGAGTTGGTCTAGACAGCCTCCCAGCTATAAATTTATGATCCTATTGTCCTTTTGCTTTAAAAACCAGCTCACTTTAAAAAATAATTTATTTTGATTTATTAACAATCACTTCCATAAGCTTTTGAGTTTTAAATTTTTTCTCCCTCCCTCCCCAGAAACCAGCTTTAAAAAATTCCTTAAACTCATCCATTTATGGGAGAAAGCCTCCCTAGTAAATCTGATACCATCCACTATCTTTCAAAATCTCACATTTGTGAACCTGGAAGAAACTGTATTCCCATGATGGCTGACTTAGCTAATGAGTTTTTGGAGGCAGAATTCTCTGCCCAGACTGGCAGGCCTCTTTATTTCAAGTAATCAAAGAGAAGAGACAGCCCAGGATAGGGGAAGACCTAAGTGCCCTTGGGAATCTGAAAGTCCTAGGATAAGTCATGTTTTCTACTACCCCTATAGGACCGTGCGTTTGTTTCCTCCGGCTGTAAAAGGGGCTAATATATGTTGTACCCACCTCAGGACTGCGGTAGTAACTCTCCGTTTTCTATCAGCAGCCCTGCTTGGCTTCGACTCCAAGGGAACATCATGCCTCACTCAGGATAAGCTGATCACCTGAAGTCTCACCGCCATGCTGATTGAGTGACTCAGCTTTTGATACTCAACACCTCCTCAAGCCCCAAAGCTTCCCCTTCACCCACTGTCAGACTGTAAGCTCCTTGAGGGCAGGGACTGTCTTTTTCTTATTTGTATGCCCAGGGCTTAGCACACAATGCCTAGCATATAGTAGACCCTTTATGTTTATTGAACTGTGTGAGGACCAAATTCAGTAATTTATATACAGTGCTTGCAAACCTTAAAGCACATTAATTAGTGTGGCTTAATGGACTGAAAGCCAGCCTTGGAATTGGTCCAGGGGCCTCTCAGCACCTCTAGGCAACTCTGTAAGGCTACACGTTGCAAAGAGGGTGCTGATGTACTTTGTTAGAGGGAGTTTCCACATCCCAAAAGTTCTCCATGCTAAAATAAAACGCAGGTTAACTTGCACACCCCACCCCAGTATGAAATGTCCAACAAAATTTTAAACTCACATTCTACAAATAAAGGTCAGCCATTTCTACTTAATTGGTCTGTTTCTCCATGTATATGAGGGAATTGATGGCTCTTCTCAAATCTCACATTCTATGTATTAAGGTTAAGTCCCTTACTAGCAATAACACTGACTCTCTTACATACCACAACACACTTCTAAGGAATTTTCAAAATTACAAAAGACTAACAAATATAATGTCACAGATTTAAGAGTTAGCGATTCTTATGATCGGAGATGCACCGTAGTAGTGAGGGGACTAGAACTGCTCCTTTCAGAGGTGGTAGGAACACACATTTCACTACTAGTGTTAGCTTTGGTTTTTCCTCTAATGATTTTGTAGCAGCGTAGCTTGGTGGCAACATTTCTTTGTCTTGTTGAGATGCCCATGCCATTACAAGATCACAAACTTGATTCTTTCTTGCCCACTGAGCTCCCATCCTAATGATGTTAACAGCATTAAGATGTCTACAGTATGTATGTTTATAAAGCACTTTCCTCACAGTAACTCTTGTGAGGTAGGTAACACAAATATCATTATTCCCACTTTGCAAATAAAGAAATGAGCTGAGACCAAAACCAAGGACTTAAGGGATTCCAGGTCCAGCTACACCATACTCTCTCTGTTAAAGATAATAATATGTCCCTGACATCAACACTATGGGTCACTGTAAAATACCAGAAAGAAAACACACTCAACAGGAATCATCCATCTGAAGGTACAATACCAGTACCCAATCTTTTAATCTGTACAACAGCAAGTTACTACGCATGTTGTGTTCCACCATTCACACAACACTTTATCTTCCCATACAACTTACAGGCCCCTCAGTTCCAGAAGACATCGTTGCTGCAGATGGTTGGAAAAGCCTGAGGACTATTTTTTCACTTCCTAAACTTGAGCTTCTTGACTCAGGCCAGTGGGGTACCGATGTTGGAAAGAAGGCCAGAGTTAAGCTCAGCTCCACTTAATGTTCTTGTCCTCTTCAGTCAGAGCTGATACATTGGTGACCAAGCCCGTACCAATGGTTTTACCACCCTCCCTCAGGGTAAAACGCTGACCTTTCTCCAAGATCATGGGTTGTCTTAAGATTAAGTTTAGTTTCAGGTCCTCCCCAGGCATGGCCATCTCCTGGAGGAAAAATGGGGATTAAATGAATCGCTGCCCTCAACCAAGTTGTGGATGGGAGGGGAAAAGAGGAAGGTGGGAAAGGAGAGAAGAAATCACCTCCACCCACATATAAGCATTAACAATCCACCTAGGCTATTGTCTTTTTGAACAAGAGGTGGTACAAAGCATTTAACATGTGCCAATCATGTGCCAGGCTGTGCTAAGTGCTAGGTATATGAAGACAAAAATGAAGCTCACAATCTCCTAACCTACCAACTCACCTTCTCCGGGGGTAGAAGGACCCGGCAGGCCATGTCCCACGTGAGAGAGAACATGACAGGCATGAAGTGTGACACAAATGGCTTGTGGCGGCCACCTTCTTCCTTGCTGAGAATATAAACCTGGGAAATGACACAAACAATTAGAAGCCTTTGCTTGCTGTTACTTGTGTCTTCCTAAAAAGAGAACTGGATCAGGGCTAAGGAAGGATACAGTCCAGGGACTCCCAGAACACTTCTTTCCTTCAACTATAGCTTACCTGAGCCTCAACCTTCTGATGGGGTTGAATGGAGCCTGGTTGAACCATCACCATACCCCGTCGAACATCCTCCCTCTTCAGCCCCCGAATTAATGCACCAAGGTTATCTCCAGCCTCAGCTCGTTCCAGACTCTGGTGAAACACTTCAATTCCTGCAACAGGAAAGCAACTTCAAGGTAGGAACAGAAAAGGGGACAAGGCCTCAGTCTAATGTAAGCAAGAACAGAGGAAATAGGAAGAAGGGTTTAATAGTGGACCATGAACTTTACCTGTGACCACAGAGCGAATATTCCTGCTGTGGCCCAGAAATTCACATTCATCTCCTTTCTTCACGGTTCCTCTCTCCAGAGTCCCTGTGACCACTGTGCCACGGCCTACAACAAGATAATTTAAAATGTGGGAAGGGCTTCATTGGAGTTGGGGGAAATTAAAAATGCCAATGAGGTGTGACTCTAAACCAGGAAATAAACATTTGCCAAGGGAGTTAGGAAAGAGCTGGGAAAAATATAAAGCAGTAATCTCACCAGGGATGGAATAAATAGACTCCACAGGCAGTAGGAATGGCTTCTCTAGATCCCTAATGGGCACTGGTATATGAGTGTCCACAGCATCAAGCAGTTTCATTACAGCATTCACCCCTAACTCTGGCTGCCGCTGCTGTGGTTAAAGGAGAGGCACAGGGTCAGGGAAAAGCCAGCTTTTTTCCTCTAAGAGGAGTACAAGAGTACAGGGCAGCAGCAGCAAAGAGGTGGTACATGGCCTGAAGTTCCTATTCAGTCTTTCAGCCATAAGGCTTCGTCTTCATAAGATCATGGATAGTGGGTCAGACCTATGGTCAACCCAGCTCAGAGTTATATAATGTCACTGAAAGCAGTCTGACCAAATACGGAAACTGTTCTCTGTGACAACCGTTTCAAAGGTATTCCCAAACAGAAACAGGATGAACAAAGAGCCCCAGGGAGAATTATCTCCCAACTTGTGGCCTTCTACTCCCCCTTACCTCAAGGGCACAGAGGGCAGAACCAACAATGACAGGAGTCTTCTCCCCATCATAGCCAAACTCAGTGAGCAGCTCCCGTATTTCTAGTTCCACTAGCTCCACCACCTCATTGTCCTGGACAGCATCTGCCTTGTTCACAAACACTACCATGTGCTCCACACCAATCTGGTGGAAGAAAATTGCTCCCATTAACAAGGTTTACACATAAGTTTAGAAAAGAACACTTAACACATGCCATGAAGGAATAATCCTGACCCCAATGAATCCATTCCCCACCTCAGAGCCTTTTAAAGACTGCCTCCCTCTCCCTACACCATCCTTCTCCACTTCAGATTTAGGTTTCTAATAAGGCTCCACCTGAAGAGACAGATACCTGTTTGGCAAGCAGCAGGTGCTCTCTTGTCTGGGGCATGGGGCCATCATTGGCTGCCACCACCAGGATGCAGCCATCCAATGGGGCTGTGCCAGTGATCATGTTCTGGAGACAGAGAATGATATTACTTGAGCATGCAAGTTCTCTTTAGCTTTCAAATTTTTTCTGCTTTTCCTTTCTCCAAGGGATGTGATGTGGTCAGTCCTTTTCCATTATTCCCCCTTTTCCTGGGCCTTAAATCCTCCTCTCAAGCCTTTAACTTGTTTCCTCCTTTCTTCTTACCAGCACCCCACGTTAAACCATGACACTTCTGTATCTTCCCCAGAACTCCAAGTTCCTTCAGCCACTTCAGTGCCTAGGGTTGCCCAGGTATGTCCCTCTCACCTTGACATAGTCAGCATGCCCAGGACAGTCAGTGTGAGCATAGTGTCGAGTGGCTGTACTATATTCCACGTGGGCTGCATTGATGGTGATACCCCGGGCTCGTTCCTCTGGTGCATTGTCGATTTCCTCATATTTCTTAAACTTGGCCCCACCACTCTCTGCCAGAACTTGAAACCAAAAGGGAAGAAATAGTTGAAGGGAATATATACACTTTAAGTGGTACCCTGTCCTCTTCCCCTTTTGATCATCTCCTTACCCTAACAGGGCCTAGATGTTATACCCAAAGTAAGGCAAATGACACATCTGGGAAACAAGGATCCTTTGAGTTTCTATCTTTGTCCTGACTCCCTGCCCGACCTAGATTCACAGGATATCCTCTATTACTGCCACTTTAAAAGTCCAACCTATTCATATATACATATATGTTTTTTTCCACCTCTGATAACCAAAACACTGTCCTCCCCCATACAAACATCTCTCTGTCCTTACTCTTGGTGATTGCTGCTGTCAGTGTAGTCTTGCCGTGATCCACATGGCCAATAGTGCCAACATTAACATGGGGTTTGTCTCTCACATAAGTCTTCTTGGCCTCCACAGCAAGGCCCCGTAAAATAAGGGGCAGGGAGGGCTTCTGCCCTGGGTTACAAAGTTGAGCCTACATAGAAAGGAAACTGATCAATGCTGACAGCAGGGGAAAAAAAATTCCACAGCCCTTTGGTGGGTTAAGGGGGTGAAGGCAGGAACTAAATCTTAGAAAACAGATAATGGTAGCTCCATTCACATAATTTTTCCTTCATTCTTTTTGGCCTCGGTCAGGTTTGGGATCAGGGATGTGTTCTTACCCTTTTCAAAAATTTGTGCAGCAGCTGGCAGCTCTGAAAAACTGAGAAGAAAATGCATTAGAGAAGAGGGCTGTAGTTCTGACTTTCCCACTCTCCATATAGCCTTGCCCTATTTCTCTCCTATGCTCCTTCATCCTTTCTATGTTTCTCTCCCAGAACCCCTTTCTTTTTTTTCTTTCCTCTATCCTTCTGTCCCCAACTTGCCCCCATCTTTTTTTTTTTCCATGGTCCTCCTTACCCCACCCCAGCCCCGCCTCCTTCTTCCATCATCCGAAAGGCCCTCCCCCCTCCACTCCTTCCCTCCTGCAGCCCCTTCTTGGGTACCCAGCCTTGCCTTCTCCGTTCCTGCCCTTCTACATCACTCCCCTGAATGCGTGAATCCCCTCTACACTCCTTTTTTCCCTCCTCTCCTAAGCCGCCCCTCCCAACCCTCCCCGTCGGTTCTGCTCTGCCCCGGGGTCAAGGGGACCAGCGGCCTCTCTTCTCTCCGCCCTCCTACCACTGGGCCCGGCCCGTGCACGGAACATAACGGTTGCAGCCATCCCGATGAAGAGCGGGGACGGGCAGAGAAGGGAGGGGATAACTGAAGCGTTAGAGGGAAAAGAGTGCCAGAGAGGAAAGGGACAGGGAACGGCACAGCGTGCGAGGCGCTAAGGGCATAGAGAAAAGAAAGGTACTTCCGTCGGACGGAAGTGACGTAAGGACAGGAAAGGGAGACTATTGAGAGGCCCCCTCTAGGACCCCTGTGGCGGACTTCCTATGCAGAGGGAATACCCGGAAGGAGACTGAGTCCGAAGGCCGGAGGGGTAGACAGGCTGCCAGCTCCCACAATGCACCGCCAGCAACAACAGCGAAACCCCGCCCTCTGTTTGTGTTGCCTCCTGGGATTTGTGGTCAGCTGAGGGTAGGGGCTGTGAAGGGCTCCTTCTGGGGCAGTTCTTAGGAGATGGTTAGAGGATTTCCCAATTTATGTGAAGTGATATGGAGCTGGAGCCCTTTTCGTCTCAAAATACTATCCTACTAGCCCCTGGTGAATGAATGAATTCATAAATGAAGAAAAGCGTTTGAGCGCTCCTGCCGTGGAGGTGCCCACTTGCCTTGGTAGAGTTTCCTCCTTGGGAGGAGCGCCCTGCCTCAATGAAATCATAGATCTAGTTCCTGTCCTTAGCTCTACTATGTTACAGGCAGTGTGCTAAGTCCTGGAAATACAAAAGAGAGACAGTCCCTGTCCTTACAGAGCTTACAACCCAACAAGGGCAGACAATACATAAAGGATATTTCCTAGGAAAGGATGTTTTTGTCTGGAAATTAATAGGGATGGTGAGAGGAGGTATAGGGCAGTCAATCGACACACCCTTTCCAGAAGCCGTGGCAGTGTTGATTTGCATATAGGGCCTAAAGCAAAAAATTGAAGGAAGGAAACTAAGGGTTGGGGAGAAGGTAGTGGTTTCCATGCAGAGCTGCATAGCAGGAAAATGGTGGGGCGAGGGTGGGGGAGGAGTAGAGGGGCTTGTGGTTTAAACATGGTGGGAGTCTAAGCCTATCTAGGTATATTGAGCTCTCATTGTTCAGCATAGAACGAACCTTCCCCAGGGAGCTCCAAAGTTGAATGGCTTATTTCTCCAAGGCATGAGGGCTGGGGTCTCCCATCTCTGCCCTGGAAATCCATTCTGGTTTCTGCCAGAAATTCCCCTATTAAGGATCTTCCTTTGAGTTCCCCTTTTGAAAAGAAAATACTCCTAAATCAGTAACAAAATTTACTGAAAGGGGGCAGCTAGGTGTCGCAGTGGATAGAGCACTGGCCCTGGATTCTGGAGAACCTGAGTTCAAATCTAGCCTCAGACACATAACACTTACAATGTGACCCTGGGCAAGTCACTTAACCCCCATTACCCAACCAAAAAAAAAAAAGAGAGAGAGAGAGACAATAAATTGATCACATGCAGGAGAAAACATAATCATTTAATCATAGCTAACATTTTAGGGCAGCTAGGTGGTGCAGTGGATAGAGCAGCGGCCCTGAAGTCAGGAGGACCTGAGTTCAAATCCAGCCTCAGACCAACCACTTGACACTTACTAGTTGTGTGACACTGGGCAAGTCACTTAACCCCCATTGCCGAAAAAGCCAAAAAAAAAAAATTTACTGAACATGCTAGACCCTGTCTTCTTAATGGGAGATCACTGGCCACCCCCAGCTTCTAAATTGGGGATGTGAAGGTCCCTAGCCTGAGTTACTGTACAACCTTGCTAAGTCGCTTTCTTGCTCCAGTATCTTTCTCTGATCCATCCTTTGAACAGATTCTTTTGTCGAACACAACTCTGATCACATCACTCTCCTAATCAGAAACCCTCAGTGGCTCGCCAAGATGTGTAGCAGGCAGGCATTGTGGTGTAATGAAAATAGTAATGACTGGTCTTGGAGTCAGAAGACCTGAGTTCAGATAACTTTCTGATACTTATTAAATGTGTAACCTTGAAAAGCAGCTTCATTTCTCTTAGCCTAAGTTTCTAAGTTTCTTCATTTGCAAAATGGGAGAAATAGTGGTCATAAAGTTTTTGTGAGATGGAAAATGTTTTGAAAAACCTTAAAGTTCTATAAAAATGTGAGCCATTATTATTGGATAAAATCCAAACTCTTGACCTAGAATTCAAGACCTCTACAATTTGACCCCTACCTTACCTTTCCACCCCAGTTCTCATTGTTGCCTTCTACCTTTAAGCTCCAGCCAACTTGGTCCGTGTTCCATCTGGAATATCTTTATCTGTTCACTCTCTCTATTTGAACCATATGCTGCTTTAAGGACCAGCTTAAATTCCTTCTACCTAGTGAATCTTCTGCCAAAACCCTCAGTCAGAAGGGCTCTTTTCTCAGCATTCCCAAAGTACTTTGTATCCCTTCTATGGCTCTTATCATATTTGTAACAGTAGAGATCAGAAGAACGCTGATCAATATGATGAGTCCCTCAATGAGCCAGATAAGACCTTTGTTAGAAGGGCATACCTCACATGGAGCTACACAACTGCTATAGTAGCTTGTTGAGAAAACATAGTGATTTTCTCTCATTGGTTCCCAGTGATTGGGGCTTAAAGATGACTGGGTACTGAGAATCAGGGGATACATATTCTTGTCAGAGGAACCATCTTTCTAGATGTCTATAAAAATGAGTTGTGAAAGTCTACCTCTGGGTAGAATTTGTAAGCAAACAAGGGAGAAAGGATGATAGAAGATACATTGGACAATTTTGATTACATAAAATGTAAAGGCTTTTGCACAAACAACATTAATGTAATTAAAATTAGAAAGGAAAAAGGCAATTCAGGAAAAAAAATCTTTGCAACAACTTTTTCTGATAAAAGTCTCATTTCCAACATATATAAGGAATTGATTCAAATTTATAACATGAGCCATTCACCAATAGATAAACAAAGGACATGAACAAGCAGTTTTCAAAGGAAGACATCCAAGCTCTCAATGATCATATGATAAAATGTTCCAAATCATTAATAGAGAAATGCAAATTAAAACAGCACTGAGATTTTTACCTCATACCCATCAGATTGGCAAAGATGACAAAAAGAAAAAATGACAAATGTTGGAGGAGCTGAAGGAAAACAGGCATGCTAATGCACTATTAGTGGAGCTTTGAATCGGTCCAGCCATTCTGGAAAACAATATAGAACGATGTCCCAAAACTCTCTACATTTTGCATACCTTTTAACTAAGTGATACCTCTAAGGGGGCTACATCCCAAAGAAATCAGAGGGAAAGGACCCATGTATACAAAAATACAGCTGCACTTTTCACAGTAGCCCAAAACTAAAGGGTTGATGCCCCTTTATTGGGGAATTATAGTATATGAATGTCGTACTTAAGACAAACCCTTGAGATATTTAGTACAAGTGTAATCTCCAGTTTACAGATAAACTAAACCTCAGAGAGGTCAAGGGGCTTGTCTATAATCACAAAGCTAGTAAGTGTTCCAGCCTGGATGCATCCCAGTCTCTTCTGACTCTAAGCATGGTATTCTTCACTACACTATGTTGTCTATGTTAATCATAAATACAAGCCCCTAACAGAGTAGTTGTAGAATCTTAGAAGCAAAACACAATCGACATGAATCTTCAGTTAAAATGACTTGATTCCACTGGTTTCTTGACTTCATCATTCTTCAAGTTTAAATACCAGAGCTTTGGCTATCCCTGAAATTCCCATGACAACTGTTGTTGTTGTTGTTTGTCCTTCCTTCTTGAAGAGGACCACGACATCAGGAAGGTGATGTCATGACTTACAAGTGAATTGGATTTAAGTGAGGCAGGGCTGTGCAAAGTCACCAGCCTTACCTCCTCCAAAGCCTTCTGGGTCCAGTGGCAAGATATAGATGAGGGCAACTAGTGATGCCCCCCCTATAGCAGGCTCATGTATCATTATGTAGCACCAGAAAGGATCATACAAGTCATCTGATTCAATCCCCTCATTTAACAGAAGAGGAAACTGATACTTAGAATGTCTCTAGGGCCAGGATTTAAATTCAAGTTCTCTACTTCCCTTTCTCAGTACATCATGCTATCTGATAAACTAGAGACATGGCAGGAGGCTAATGTAGGTTTTTCCAGTGGAGCATCAAGTGTGGAGGTCTTCTTGGATGTCCCCATCAAGACCACTGAACTCCTCTTAGTCTGATATCAGCCCCTGAACAGTTGAAAACTCTTCACCAAGAGCTGAGGGAGAGAGGCCTCAAAGCATCTCTGGGGTTGCTGTAAAAGGTCTCTCAACCAGAGAAAGGCCAAGGTCTTAAACTTAGGGGCAGGTAAGTGGCATAGTGGTTAGAGTTCTGGGCCTAGAGTCAGAAGTCCTGCGTTAAAATCTGACCTCAGACAAGTATTAGCTGTGTTACCCTAGGCTTAACCCTATTTCTCTCAGCTTCCTCATTTGTAAAATGAGCTGGAAAAGGAAATGGCAAACCAGTCCAGTTTCTTTGCCAAGAAAACCCAAAAAGGGGGTCTCACCAAGAATCTGACACGACTGATAAGACTGAGCAACATAAACTCAGGTTCCAGACTCCCCAGTTGGGAAGTGGGTGTTCTTTCTCAAGGTCACCTCAGCCTTCCCACATCCCTCCCCGAGAGGGTGCTGTCCTTTTCTTCAGAGAACGGAAGGATCCGGCGCTCTAGGAGGCCACCTGACCCCTCTGTGACCTCTAACCAGCCCCTGCACCGTCCTCTCTCTGGTTTCATGCTCCCCTAGCGGTAGTTTAGCCTTGCATTTGTTTGGGATACTCTATCTCGAGGTGCCGTCTCTATGGTTGGTCTGCCAATCTCCGCCAATCTTCTTCATTCTCTTTACGGAAGATGGCAGGGGAGGTTCTAGTCTAGCGTAACCCGTCTCTGTGGGATGTCCCAGGGGACGTCCCACCCTGAGGGGCGACTAGTGGGGACGCTAAAGTGTTCACAGCGCCTCCTCCTCTACATTTAAGAACCCCTGCTCCTTCACCCTGGGAGAACGATCTCTATGATCCCCACGCCTCGGGAGGAGGAAGTCGGAGGGAACGTGCCTTTCTCTCCCCGCTGCCTTATCTATGGTCTTTTTTTTTCCTTGATGGGAAAGGGGGTCCCAGCGCCTGCGCAGTAACTGGCTGGTCGCTGGTCACTGGTTGGTGGGGGTAGGGGGGGAGCGGGAGCCGCCGCTGCTGCCGCCGGAGCAAACCGCGGGGACCGAGATGCAGGTGGGACCGGAACCGGAACCCCCCTTCTCATTCTTCTTTCCCCACCCGAACCCTCCCCCCTTTCCCGGGCCTGGGACTGGAGGGAGGGCCGAAGGTCCTGGAGCGGGGCCGGGCTCGGAAGCTGGGGGCTGGGGGAATATCCCCAGGGCAGCGCACCGCCGGAGGCCGGTGGAGCGGGGCGCAATGGGCGGAGGTGAAGGAGGCCGCCCACGGGCGGAGGGAAAGCCGGCGTTCTCCGGAGCCCCCCACCCCCGGAGGAGCGCTGGGGCTGGGCAAGGGAGCAAGGCTGCCCGCGGCCTCATCACTGCAGGGCCAGGGGGTCGGGGCGAGTGGGCAGCAGCAGCCGGGCTAAAGGAGCTACGGCGTTTGGGGGGGAGCGACCTCAAGGGACCCACACTGGGTGAGGGGTCCCCCCTGTTGTTGGTGTGGAACGTACGAGCTCTGGGGTGGAGGGAGTAGGCATGTCATGCTTGGGTGTCTCCCCCAGCATGCACCAAACCTCCCTCTTTCCCAGGCTCTCTTCATTGGCATTTGAGACTATTTCATGTGTTTCTGTCTCCTCGAGGCAGGGTCCGGGGTAGATGTAAAAGGCGGCTGAAAGGATAGGGAATGAAGGGAGGGTGAAGATGTTGGTCCGGAAGTGACCAGCAGAATTGGCGTGGGTTGCCTGTCAGGAAGGAGTTCTTGAGAAAATAAGAAACACAGGCCAGACTTCTTTAAGGCCACTCTCATTCCAGCCCTTTCCATGGAGGTCTGGCCTTAGGAAATTATTTCCTTTGTTCATTCCAGGTTCTGATGTCTCTCTGTGGAAATTCATTTTGTTGCTGAACCTAGGCCTGCGCAGAATTTCCCATCTTAGGGAACTGGAATAAGGAATCAGGGTTCTTAGGTTCTGTGCCTGACTAGAACTCGAAGCCACCACTTTTGCGACCTTAGGCAGTCATTCAACTTCTGAGTCTGTTTTCTTACCCATAAAATGGGCACAATAGCCCCTGGTTTACCTCTCTAATAGGGTTGCTGTGAAGTAGGAGAATGTGTGTGAAAATGCTTTGAAATCATAAAGTGCTATGTGAATGCTGTTATTGGTCAAGCAGAAATTTTTCTAGAAACTCTTCCTAACCTGGTCAACTAGTGATGCTACAAATAGTGGCTATGAGTCTGGTCTGAAGAAGCACAGGATTAGTGGCCCTCAGTTCTGAGCCGGGTTTTTCCCGGAGTCCAGTTGCTCTGGGCTGTGGGACTAAGGGCCTGTGTGCTCATTTTCACAGCTTGTCTGACCTTTAGCCCCTTTTGCTTTCTTTTATTCTTTGACATTAGAAAATACTTCATCCCAGCCTTCTTATAGTTTCTTTTATTCTTGAGACTGAGGGGAAGAAGTAAGGTAGCAGTACTCAATATTTGGATGGTGAGGAGCTACTGAGGATGGAAGGGGGTGGGTGGGAATGATGCCTTCAAGGCAGTACCCTCATACCATAATGCTTAAAATGCCAATGAGCCTTAGGGAGAGAAGCAAGGTGGCAGTCACCTACCTATTGCTGACCTGTTAGGGACCTTTAGAGTAAGATATTGGATATATTTATTTCTGAAAGAGAAGAGATTGGAAAGGAAGCTTTCTGTCTCTGAAGGGTTTCTTTTTTGGAGGATGTCGACCAGCTTACCTTTAACCCTTCTGGGATCAAAGCCAAAGGATGTGGGCTGAGATTACAGCAGGAAAGATAGAGGCTAGATATCAGAAAAAAACCTACCAGTGCTTGAGAGGTGTGAGAACCTGGAATATGGGAAGGAAGCTAACATATTTTGAAGGACTTTTCTTGAATCTGTCTGAATCAGAGAGGAACAAGGTGAACAGAAGGCAGTGTGGAAAAGTGGATGGCTTCTCAGTGAGGGTGGAACAATTGGGGAATCTCTGGTATTTGGGGAAAGGTCTAGAACTTATTCTCTATAAGGTATAATTCTAATACTGACTCCTATATATGTGCCTCTTTTTCCCTTCCACAGTTGCTGCAGATGACCCTGAGTCTTCTGGCCTCCCCCCCCACTTCCTTCCCTCCCCTGGGTCCCCCACTCTCCATTTCATCTGGCTCATCATGAATGGTGCCCCTTCCCCTGAGGATGGGACTTCCCCTTCTCCTCCCCCCTCTGCCACCACCACTTCCACCACCTCCTCCCCCAAGTTGGCGGGAGTTCTGTGAATCCCACGCTCGGGCCGCAGCCCTAGACTTTGCCCGACGCTTCCGCCTCTACTTGGCTTCCCATCCCCAGTATGCAGGGCCTGGGGCTGAGGCAGCCTTCTCCCGACGTTTTGCTGAGCTCTTCTTGCAGCACTTTGAGGCTGAGGTGGCCCGGGCCTCAGGTTCCCTTTTATCATCTGGTCCGATCCCCCTGAGTCCCAGTACGGAAACCCCATCACGTGATCTTTCCCTGGAGAGCTGCAGGAACAGTGGGCCTCTGACTGTGTTGGGTCCTTCTCGATCCTCTGAAGACCTGGCTGGCCCTCTCCCTTCTTCAATCTCTTCATCCTCCTCAAAGCCTAAGCTGAAGAAACGTTTCTCCCTCCGCTCTGTGGGCCGATCAGTGCGAGGCTCGGTCCGAGGGATCTTGCAGTGGCGGGGAGCTGGTGATCCCCCCTCTCCAGTGGGACCCTTGGAGACCTCTGCCTCTGGACCACCTGTCCTGGGTGGAAACAGCAACTCCAACTCCTCTGGTGGGGGGTGGTAGCACCAATGTGGGGCCAACTAGCGGTGGGGCATCCCCTGGGGAAAGATGGACACACCGCTTTGAGAGGCTGAGACTAAGTAGGGGAGGGGGACCCTTAAAGGATGGGGCAGGGACAGTGCAAAGGGAGGGGCTACTGAGCTTCATGGGAACAGAGGAGGCAGCTGTTGGTGGAGGAGAAGGTCGAGGGGGAGGAGGAACTGGAACCTCATCTGGGGGTGGGGGACCACCAAGGTGGCAGAAGTGTCGCCTGCTGCTTCGGAGTGAGGGGGAAGGAGGAGGAAGTCGGCTGGAGTTCTATATCCCACCTAAGGTGAGAGAGAAGGGGAAGTGTGACTGGGGATGAATAATGTAGAAGCCTTGCAGATAGAACCCCAGAAGTTTACAAGCCTACAGGCTTTTACTTTTTTTTTTCCTTTGACACTTGGACCCATCTTGCTAACTCTTGACACTTGTTGAGTATGCAGGACTAGGTTGGTGATATCAACAGTCTTTCTGCCACCTCCACATTACTTACAAGGTAGAGCAGGGAGCCATTGGGCTTGTGTTGACACCCCTTTGGTGAAGTGGGAAGAGTTGGGAGGCCAGGTTTCCCCTGGGAAGTGGAGGAGTGTTTTTGAGCCTGAATATTGGGACTCCTACTGCCTCTTCTACCGCAGGCATCCCGGCCCCGGATCAACATCCTGTGTTCTACCGTCACAGATGTCCGGACGACCACAGCCCTGGAGATGCCCGACAGGGAGAACACGTTTGTGGTTAAGGTCGGAGGCTTGGGCACTCCTATTCTTCCTTGATTACCCATTCCAAAGAATGTGATTTTTATGTATAAAAATATACATTTTTACATATGCAGAGTTGGAGATAGTCAGGCTCTCAGTTTTTCCAAGGACTAGAAGCTGTGAGAAAGGTGCCATGACCCCACAGCCAGGGGACTCTTCCCAAAATGAAGACATGTTCTTGAAGTTTAGGCAATTCCCTCTTTCTTTCTGTATGTGTGTGTATATATATATGTGGGTGTCTGTGTATATACCTGTGTGTGTATATATGTATGTATGCATGTGTATATATGTATGTATGTAGGGAAATACGTACACAGAGAAACACACGTAATACTAACATATATACATACATACACACACAAATGAAAGAATTTATTTGGGAAGAGAAGCAAGAGGAGAGGAAATAGCTAGAGAGAATGCTCTTTTTTTCATTGAGGTTGGGTGAAAAGACCTGGGGAGCTCTCAGTGTCTTATTGGTCTCCTCTTTCCCCCATCTCCTGTCTGAAGTACCACACCCTTGCCTCCATAGGTGGAGGGTCCTATGGAATACATCCTGGAGACAGCTGATGCCCTGAGTATGAAGGCCTGGGTGTCTGATCTACAGGATTGCCTGAGTCCAGGGTGAGGGGCCTGAGGAAGCAAGGTGGGGGGAAGTGGTAGAAAAGATGCTTGATGCTGCTCAGTTCACCTTGTGACTCTTCCCTCTCTCCCTTTCTTCTTTTCCCTGAAATTTTCTGTGCCACTGATACCCAGTCTGATACCTACCCTTGGCACTTCATTCCCTACTAGGGAGAACACAGACAGCCTGGACCTGTCCTGCCTCAACCACTCAGAGAGTCTGCCCAGCCAAGAGCTGCCCTTGGGACCCAGTGAGAGCAATGAGCATCTGTCTCAGGGTGAGGCAGGAAGGGAGGAAAGCCAGACCCTTGGGGGACAACTTTTGTGTTGTTGACTACATATTAGTCATAAAATGTTAGAGCAAGAAGAGATCTTCTAGGCCAACCTCCTCGTTTTACAGGTGGGGAAACTGAGGGTCAGAGAGGAGGAGTGTCTTGTCCAAGAGAATGTAGCTAATAAGTGGCAGAGTTGGGATTAGGATGCAGATCTCCTGACTAATAATCCAGGTGGTCTGTTTTTTGAGAACCTGCTGTCTTAGCTTATTCAATTAATCAGCAGTCAATAGATCGTCAGGCTCAATGGCTTCTGAGGTCTCCTCTATTTCTGATGGGGAGATATTTATTTAGTGTCCAGTAGATGCTTTGAACTCTGGACACAGAAAGAAATTGAAGGTATAGCTTCCAATTCTTGAGGTCCATTGTAGAGTGAGGAGGAAGGGGAGACTTACTGTAAGATGAAACAAGCTATAGTATGAGGTTGGACCAGCTGAGTGCACGGTGAGTGGTGCTGGGGACTAATTGTGTTGGATTTGGGAGGATGAGGCCACTGGAATAGTCAAGGAAGGCTTTCTGGAGGAGCTGGGCTTGGATTTAGATAAGCACAGGTGGAGGGACAGTATAAGCACAGATGCAGAGGTAAAGAAGCAGGATATGTGTTTGAGGGGTAACAAGTGATCAGTTGGGCTGGAGGCGGGGGCGGAGTCTTCATTAGGGGGACAGGAGAAAAGACTGGAGAGATAGGTAGGTTGGGGTTAGCCTGAAGGATTCAGTGCTAAGCCAAATTCAGTCTATCTTTTAGGACATGAGGGGAAGCTAGGTGGCGCAGTGAATAGAGCACTGGCCCTGAAGTCAGGAGGACCTGAGTTCAAATTCGGCCTCTGACCAAACACTTGACACTTACTAGCTGTGTGACCCTGGGCAAGTCACTTAACCCCAATTGCCTAAAATAAATAAATAAATGTTTTTTAGGGCATGAGCCACTAGAGGGTTTTGAGCAGCAGCTTGGTAATGAATGGTGTGTTTTAAGAATATTTCTCCCATAGCATCTATACGATAGATTTGAGGAGGAAATTTGAGTCATGGAGACATGTTGGGAAGCTATTGTCTCTGTGTCCTAGGGAGAAGGGTTCCCTTTTGCCTAACTGGGGAGTAGATTGGGTTATGGAGGCTGCTGAATCTCAAACCTTCCTTGCACCCTTGGTTTTTCCTTTAGGGGCGTATGGGGGCCTCTCGGATCGTCCCTCAGCTTCTGTCTCCCCCAGCTCTGCCTCCATTGCTGCCTCCCATTTTGATTCAATGGAACTACTGCCCCCAGAGTTGCCCCCCCCGAGTCCCTATTGAAGAGGGGCCCCCAGTGGGGACAACTTACCCCCTCCCAGCCCCTTACCCTCCTCCGGACACTCCAGACACCACAGGTACCAGGGTGTGTATGTGTGTGTCTGTATATATATATTAATGTGTGTATCTATATATATGTGTGGATGGAGAGGAGGGTATGTGTGTGGGTCTTTGCCATATAGGTCTTTCTAACTACTTCTAATTCTAGTTTTCTTCTTACCCAAACTCTCACACCTTCCAAGCCCCCTCATGGAGGATGGAATGTGGGGAGGAAGCTCTTGGGTCTTTCAGATCTGAGGGACTATGGGTGCCTAAAGTAGGGGAAAGGAGAAGATACACAAGGGAAAGGCTTCAAGACAGAAGACTCTTGTCCTCAGGGATGGGGGAGGCTTCCCTGACACCCCGGTTTCCCCACTCTTTCCTCCCTGAAGGTTCGTTCCTGTTCCAGGGGGAATCAGATGGAGGTGATGGGGACCATCCCCTTTCAGAGTACCCTTGGTTCCATGGGACCCTTTCCCGACTCAAAGCTGCCCAGCTAGTGTTGGCAGGGGGTGCTGGCAGCCATGGTGTCTTCCTGGTACGTCAAAGCGAGACAAGGAGGGGGGGAGTATGTCCTCACGTTCAACTTCCAGGGCAAGGCCAAGGTGAGTGGCCCCATGGAAGAAAGGGCTTCTTTCTTTCTTAGAGGAAGGGAAGCTTCAGGGGAGAAGGCTATAGTGTCTAGGGAAGAGGATTAGCTTAGGGAAGTATCCCATGGAAGGAGAATTCAAAGAAGGAAGGGGAGTTCAGGAGATAGGAGGTTCCCCAGGGACATGGGGAACTGTTTGGGAAAGGATTTTAGATCCCAGGGGAAAGGATAGTTTAGGAGAGATGGCAGGGAGAAGGTGGCAGCCCTTAGGTCCCAAGAAGAAAGCAGTCTTTACCTTCCCCATCCCGGCCCCCAGCACCTTCGTCTGTCCCTGAATGAGGATGGTCAGTGCCGGGTGCAGCACCTCTGGTTCCAGACGGTCTTTGACATGCTGGAGCATTTCCGGGTCCACCCCATTCCCTTGGAGTCTGGGGGCTCCAGTGATGTTACCCTCGTCAGCTATGTTGTGGCCTCTCAGAGGCTACAAGGTAAGCGGGGCTGTAGGGGAGAAGGTTCTTGCTCCTCAGAGAAGTGAAGCGTGACCAGAGAGGAGAAGGCTCTCATGTGCAAGTTGTGGAGCATGTTTAGAGGGGAAGGAGGGAGGGATGGAGAAGGTGTTTACACATGTGCAATGGAAAAGAAAGTGAACATACCCTGCTGAGAGGTGTTTAGCCACCCTTCCTTTCCCTTTGGAGGAGATACTCAAACCAGCTGGGAGGCGGGGAGGTGGTGAGAATGGGATTGGTACATTTTCATTTCCATCAAAAGCCTCTGCCCATTGTCTGTCTCTGCTTCCATTCTTCCCTACTTTTTCTTCTATCTCCTCATCTGTACCCTGATCTTCCTCTGTCCCTTTTTGGCAATGCTTTGTCTGCTCCCCATGTGTTTACCCCATATGACCTTTACCCAAACCTCTGCTCCCCACCTTTCCCCTTCCTAACCACCCTCCAACCCCTGCTGTCCTGTCTGTCCCCCCTCCTCACTCCCCCTCAGGCAGGGAACGGGCAGGGAGCCGAGCTGGGGTGTGTGAGGGAGATCGCTGCTACCCCGACGCCTCTTCCACCCTCATGCCCATCGGAGCGAGTGACTGTGTGTAAGTGTGCTTCCTCCCCATGTTCCATCCTCCATGAGGGAGCTTGGAAGGTGTGGGAAGAAGGTACTTGGGTCCTGAGGATAATGGAGGTCAAAGGGAGGGGGTGCCAAGAAGACTGAAGTCATATGTGCTCTACCTGAGTTACTTCCCCTCCTACTGTTTCCAGAACAGAACATCTCCCATGACCCATCCCAATCTCCTGATCCCGATCTGAGGGCAGACCCTGCACACCCTGGGGAAGAGGAGGAGATGGTGGAGGCATCAGAAGCTTCAGAGGAAGAGAAGGCAGGCAGTGGAGGGACCCCAGGAGAGCCGGGCCCTGTGGCTGAGCTTGAGGAGACCACAGCCCTAAACAGGGAGTCCTCAGGGCTAGAGGGGCCTGGTGGGGAGGTGGGAGTGACCCCTTTTGTGCATTTCTTGCAGTTGCAGCCAGGGAATGCCGGGGAGGAAGGGGTCTGCTCCAGAGCCATCAATAACCAGTACTCCTTCCTATAAGGATGAATACCCCCACACAACCAATTCCCCCTTTCTCCCTGGCCCTGGGCCAGGACCCGTGACAGATCCTCCTCAGAGAGGTACAAATGCTTCCCTTGCCCCTATTTGTCTAGGGGGTAGGAATAGTACAGGACAGAGGGACAGAGCCATTAGTAACTTCCCAGAGGACACACTCCAAGCTGCCCCTTTCCCTGGGCAGGGGACTTGGATCCGTTACCTCCTTTTGGGGGTGGGCCAATTGTGCTCAGCCTCGCCCCCTGTGGGCCATTTCTCCAATACCTCTCACAGCTCTCTGTGATGTATTGGGGAGAGGCTGTATCAGCTACATTAAGGATTTTTTTTTTAAGTGAAATGGAGAAACAAATAAAAAGGTTTATCTCAGCTCTCTTCTGGTCATTGGCCCAATGTTTGTATCACAGAATGGAATTGGAGATGGGGACATAATTGGCTCAGGAGGTGCACATAGATATGCTTTTGAGTCCTGGATCAGCCACTTTCTGGGTGACTTTGTGCCTGTCACTTCCCATGTCAGACTAGTCAGCTCTTAAGCCCCTTCCAACTCTTAACATTCTGGTTCTGGAATTCCAACCCCTGTGGGAGAGCTGTACATAGAGCCAGGGCATGAGGGTGGCTTCTTTTTTCCTAAATAGGTTGTTCTGGGAGAGGTCAAAGGTAATGGCCATTGATCTGGGCTGGAAAGGCCAGACTTGGGAGCAGGGTTTCTGGGTTCTTGAGAAAGGAGGCATCTGGCCTGGGACTGGGAAACTTGTAGTAGCTCTGCTACTCAGTTACATGTGTTACCTTGGAGAAGTCACTCAATTTATTTGGGCCTCAGTTTACTCCTCTGTAAATGAGGGGGTTAGACTTAGATGGTGTCTTGAGAACCCTTCTAGTTCTGACATTCTGAATTTCCTTGAGTTGTGGCTGCTCCCGTCTTTGGTGGTGCATTTCTCCAAAAGAGGGCGCTCCTGGGCCTCCTTGCTACTCTGGCCCCCAGGAGAAGTTCAGAGGATTGTTGGATTTAAAAACATTTTAGAGAGAAAAAAAAATTGGCAGGAGCCATCCAGTCAAACCCCCCGATTTTAAAGATGAGTAAATGGGCCCCCAACAGGTAGCTGGTTTGCATAAGGTCAGACAGGTAATGGGAGCAGAGCTGGAATTCAGACACAGGACTACTGACTGGGAATGCTGTGCTCCTTACGTTATACCACAGTAGCTGCCTAAGACCATTTCCAAACTTTCTGAGCTGCTCCCCCTGTTTTGCCAGTGCTGCCCTTCACCTGTCTCTTTTTCACTTGTGTTCCTGCCCTGCTACCACCACTCCTCAGTCTAGTGGGATGCTCCAGCCCTGTGTTCTTCCCTTTCCTTTGGCTTTGCCACTCCCTTTCCTTCTGTCCCAGCTCCCCTCCTCCAGCAGGCCCTAGACTCTTGTGACCTTGTTATTCTGAGCCTTTGGTTCTGACAGGAGATGGACAGGAGACAGCTGGAGTCTGCAGTATACCCTGGGCAGAGAGCTGGCGGAAGGTTGCTGATTTTTCCCACTTGGTCTTCTTTCTGGGGCTCCCTTATTATCCAGTTAGGGGAACCTGAGGGGTGGAACAAGCCTTTGAAGATGGGGAAAGTTGGGAGATCTTGGTGTTATGAATGGGGAGTATGAGAATTCCACCACTTCGGAGATTAACAAGATCTGATTCAGACCTAATCTGACCAGGAACAAATTATATTCCCTGCTTGCCCCTTTGGTCTTCAGAAAATTGCCTTTGTAAGGCAAAAGGGGACTCTTCAGGGAACAGAGGGCCCACAGGATCCAAAGGCCTTCTTCCTGGGTTCTTGTATTTGGATAATTGTTTCTTTTCCCGAAACTCTGGGCCGTACCACCTCCTCACAGACTCTGGGATGTTAGAGCTGAAATGTACCTGAGAATTTTGGTCCAACCCCCTTGTTTTTATAGATGGGAAAACTGAGGTGCAGAAAGAAGTTATTTGCCAGAGTGACAAGGGCAGTTGATGACAGAGCCCTTTTTTCCTACCAGCCTTAGGGACAGGTGTGAGAATGCCTTCCTCAATCAAATCAGAAAGTGTTTGACTGTCCTCAGAAAAGAATCTTAGTCATATTCTAAATCATTTTCCTTCTCCACCTCTGATCTCCCCTAGTTTGATACTGGATAAAGTGTTTTTCCTTTCTGAGCCTCTAGTTTTCTTATCTGTAAAATTAGGGGACTTAGGGCTTTGCCCCCTTTAATTCTCTCTCCTCTCCTCTCCTCTCTCTCTCTCTCCCTCCTTCCCCCTCCCTCCCTTCCTTCCCTTTCCTCCCTCTCTCCCTCCCTTCTTCTTTCCCCCCCTCTCCATGTTTGGTCACTCTTGCTCCTTCAAGACGGGCAGTGGCCCCTGTCACTCAACCAGGGTGGGGAAAAACTAGCCTGAGCAGTAGCTTAGGTATGGTGAATTTGCCTTCTCACACCTCTCTTCTCGACCCAGATAACATGGGATCATGGGATAGGTCTGATTCCTGTGGGTGTAATTCTCTCACATAATGGCCCCATTTTGTGTAGCCCCCACACTCCAACCTCCCCCCCACGCTTCCCCCCCCCAGAGGTCAGGGAAGGACTCAGCTGTGGAGGAGAGACAGTCAAAGCTGTGAAAAAGGGGAGGGGGAGGAGAGCTATGTCCTCACCTCACCCTGGAGATTGCCCTTCCAGCCCAGGCAGAGGAGTGGTAGGGTACTGGAGGGTTCAAGAGGGAAGCATTCCTAAATCTCTCCCCACCCCCACACCCCCCAAGCACTCTGGTTTTTCCCAAGTGAGGGAGTCCCCTTTCCTCAGGCTCCCTTCTCCCTGTACTTTTCTTTAGACTATTAGAGCCAAAATGGACCTTAGAAGAACAATCAACTGGCTTGGCGTCCTCGTACTACACATGGGAAAATGAAGGAACAGGGGAAGTGATTTGCCCAAGGTCACAACTCCTTTCTACGACCTTCCCACCTCTAACCCTTCACTGGTTAATCCTCATCCTGTCTTTGCTCCACTACCATTTCGTTCCTTTGCCCCTTCGGCTATCGCCTTCCTCATTCCCTCTCCTTTTCCTCCACCCCTTCTTACCAGCCCCCAATACCCACACTCTTTTCTCCTGACCCCCCAAGGTCCCCTCCTACCTCCCCCATTCTTCAGCAGTTGCCTAGTGGTAACCAGACGCTCCACCCTGGGGCAAGGGTGGGGGCTGGCTCACAGCAGCTGCCACTGCTGGGAGGCTGACACTGAATCCAGGGCTCAGAAACTTCTTGTGCCTTCGAACCCAGTCTTTCAGTCCTGCCTGGCTCCTGACAACAGGGCCTCCTGCTCCTTTCTCCTTAAGGTTCAGTTTGCTTCTTGTTCCACTGGCCCCTCACCTCTAGTCTGTTCCCCTCAGCTATCTCCTTTAGGGCTTCCCTCCCCCGTGGCTTCTCCAAATAAGGTAGCTGTAGTGTAGTGGAAAAATGGATGGATTTGGAAAAACTGGGTTTGAATCCCAGTTCTGCCACTTATTACTTGTGTGATTGTGGACATCTTTCTGGAATTCATTTTTCTCATCTATAAAATGAGAGCATTGGAATAGACAGTCTCTAGGGTCCCTTCCAGCTCAAAATCCCATGATTTCCCCTACATCTGTCACTGTTTCACCAGATCTGACCTTCCCCAGTCATACCCACACCCATTCCCTTTGTCTATACCAGCCTGATTTAGTTATCCTCCATGAATGTCCATCCTACCCTGATTTTCCTTGAGGCATCTGTCCAGCTCTTGAGCACAATATAACCATTATCTTTGTTCTCTACTGACCTTAGATTTCTCCTGTTTTAATTTTTCCAATTCTCACCTGGGAGTAACGCCAACAGTCAGGTGATAGCAGTAAAAATTGTACATTAGCCATAAGGTTTTGGGTCAAGACCTGTCAGTGTGGAGGAAGCCATGGCTTGAGAAAGAATCATTGTTTCTATCCTTCCTTGTCTAGGAAGGTATCTCTACCCCCATTCTAAACCTTCAGACCATATGTCTTTCCTCTTTGTGCCATCAGCACATTTTGTAGCCTCTTGGGTTACCCCTGTTGCTGGGTATCCCATTTTCCTTGTGGGGGGGATTCCCTATCAGGAATGGTGGGGCAGGGCCTTGTGTTTCCCATGGCTTTAGGCGGGCATATGGGGAGGTGGTGTTGGCAGGGGGTACATGCAGTCCTGGCTCTACTCACCAGCACTTGGACACTAAATCCCATGTTGATGCTCCTGCTGCCCCCCTCCCTGGGGTAGGGTTACCACCTTCTGCCCTGTCCCTTTGACCCTCTCCCCTCCTCATTTCCACTTGCCCCTCTAGAGTTGCGCTCTCCTATCCCACAGTAGACAATCTCCCTTCCAGTTTTGTCTTAGTTTTCCCTGGCCCTTTCACTTGACCTCTTGGTTCCAGTCTCTATGTGTTTCCTCCTTTATTTCATTAGGATGAAGAAGATGCTGAAAGTTATGGGGCAGTAGGGACAGGCTGAGCTATCCAGGTGGGAATAGTGGTAGAGGGAACAAATGGAGGGGGAGGGGAAAAAGGATGGAAGGGCTGAAAGGGGGTTGGAAAGGAAAAGAATAAGATTGGATTGAGGAAGCTAGAATTTCATGGAGAGAGGAGGCAGGGGAAGTTGGGGGGAAGATAAGAAATGCAAGAGACAGATAGTCTCAGTCTCCCCCTGCCCCCTCTTTCCCTGGGGCAGGGGCCACTCTGGCCTTATGAGTGACATCTCAGGCTGCAGCCCCACTGTTCCCCCTCTGTCAGCAAAAATACCTCTCTCTTCTGGCCCCTCCTGTTAGGGTCTTAGCCAGCCAATCCTGGGCCTGGTGGGGGGGTTGGGCACCCCCTCAACTCACTCATAAGGGCCAGCTGGGGGTTGGGGGGGTGGCCGGCTGCTGTAGGTTGGACGGGGGTCAGAGTTGCGTGAAGGGGAGACAAGCCCATCAGGGGGGCTGAAGAGAGACAGACAGAGACAAGCAGGTGGAGAGACTAAGGAGGAAATTCCCCACGTGTAAAAGAGACCCCCTAGAAGAACGCACCGGCCCCTGGCCCCCAGGAAGGGAGCAAGATGGAGGCCGCACACGCCAAGACCACAGAAGAATGCCTGGCCTATTTTGGGGTGAATGAGAACTCTGGCCTCACCCCTGACCAAGTTAAAAGACATCTAGAGAAATATGGACCCAATGGTGAGTATTTGGAATTGGAGCTGACTGTCTTCCTCAGTATGATCCCTTCCCGGAGATTCTGGGGGGAAAACTGAGTTGTAGCACAACTGAATTCTGGAAGGGAAGTGGGAATTGGTGGGGTAGCATCTCCAAGGTTCTGATCGTTTATAGCTTGCCACACTTTCTGTGGCCTAATCATTCCACTTTGGCCGTGGTATTATGGGAGTGGAGGAAATGTTGGGCAGAAGAGACTGTGTCCTAAATGAATTGTTTTATTCTCTTCTCTCCCAATCCTATCCCAGAACTCCCTGCAGAAGAAGGTAAGTCAAATAATCCTGTATCTCTCCCTCCGCTTCTCTTACTCCCTCCCCCCAAGCCTCTTTTTCTGCCCCGCTTCTTTTGATATACAGGCCTTCGCCCTTAAAGTCCTTTTGTCAACGATTAAAGTCCACCAGAAGGGAAGAGCTTCTCATTTTTGCCCTAGTTCACCGTCCATCTTTTTCTCATCACCACTCCCTGCCCAAAAAAAAAGACAAAAAAAGAAGGAATGTCACCCTCTTCTAGACAGAAGTGTAAGCTTGATTTCCTCTCTTTCCTGCAGAGGTCTGTCTCTTGCTCCTTAGGATAAAGAGTTGCTCAGGGCTGGGAACTTTAATTTCTCCAGGCCCTCAGATTCAGCCCCCTCCCTCTTTGTTACCCCACATCTCTTGCCTTTTTCTTCCCTATCTTTAATCCCAAGCATCCAGCATTTCTGTCTTTGCTCGTTGCTACCTGGATGTGGCAATCTCCCTTCCCCTGCCTTTCTCTCCCAGGCAAGTCCCTGTGGGAGCTGGTGATAGAGCAGTTTGAAGACCTCCTCGTTCGGATTCTTCTCCTGGCAGCCTGCATATCTTTTGTAAGTGCTGCAAATGGCACGAGAACAGGGGGAAGAGGTTGGGGGACCATGGGAGGAGGGGTGCTTTCCATGAGGTGACAAAGAATTGGGGGTGAGGGAGAAGCTAGGGAAGGACCAGTTACGGAATTCTTTTCCCTCTCAAATCCTGTTTCCTACTCGCAAAAATGGTGATAGCGATTGTTGAGAGAAAAATGCGGATCAAAGCTTATACAGGGTTGTGTTATTATTTCCATCGATATCATAACATGTACTGAAGAAGTACATTATATAAATAATGACGATAGATTCATAGCAGTGGCTCACGCTGAGGTTTTATATCAGGAGGAGGATGGAAGATGATGGAAGGAGGGAGGAGACGCTCAGCTTAGCGCCGAGACTCATCATCAACCACAGGGACGGGGCAGGCTTGAAGGAAGCCTGAGGGTCTGCTCAGGAACCCATGGGGAGGAACAGAGACAGATGGTGGGGCTGCAGACGGGGGTGAGGTGAGGGACTGGGAGTGCCACCCCTGCCCTTGGGCTCGGGCTGCTCTCCCTGGGAAAACTCTCCGGAACGTGAATTGGACACCTCACGCTGCCTGCCTCTTAAAAGGTGAAGGCAATTAAAAAAATAATAATAATAAATCAGCCCCCCTCCCGGGTCAGCAGGACAGACTGATTCGTTAGCACCACTCCCGGCATGCTCTGGGGCCCAGGTTCCCCAGCCCTGGGGAGGCTGGGGCTTCTAGGGAGTCCCCATCCTTCCACGCTGATTGGGCCAGGGGGGAACCGCGGAGCGCCGTCGCGGAATGAGCGGCTCGCCTGCCTTCGGTCGCGCTCTGGCTCCCAGCCCTGGATCCTTTCTTCCCAGCTTCCCCCAGCCCTCATTTTCCAAATGACTGAACCCTAGTTTCTCTTCCTCTCCACTCTTGGCCAGGGTCTACACCCCAGCTGAGGGTCTAGCTCCCCGCAGCCCCCAGCTCTCTCTATGGCTCCAGATTAATCTGCAAAAGCCCTGACCTTGGAGTCCCTCCAGCCTCGATCTCTTTCCTTTTTGAAAATTCTCTAGCCCTCCTGCCCTCACCCTGGGCATCTCCTTCCTCATCCTACCGTTCCCGGCTCTCCCTCACCCCTCCCCATTTCTCCCTTGGCTCTAGCTTCCGGCTGCCCCCCTGCCCTCCAGCTCTCCACCACATCCCTGGTTGGGATGACATCTCTTCCTTCCCCGGCCCTGCAGCAGCTCCTCCCTCCCTCTCATACTCACTGATCATCCCTTCAGCCCTCTGGAAATTCGTCCGCCAGGTCCCTTTCCCTCCTCACCCTGATTCCCTTTCTTCTTGGCTGTCAGGGCCCTTCTTTTCCCCTCTCAAGTTTGTATCTTGACATTTGCTGGAGCTGTCGCTGGGCAGGGAAAACAGCTGGGGCCGGGTGTGTGTGCACGAGGCCCGGTAATCCTATCTCTCCACAGCTCTCTTGAAATTGGAGCCCCCCTCCTCCCCTAAACCCTGGGCTGGGGTTGGGAGGGAGGGCTCAGGCAGCGGGGTGGGTCGCAGTGCCTGTTCAAATGGGTAGAGTTTTGTGCAAAACAGTTTTGTGGGGAAGGAGTGACTGAGGAGTTTGGGTGATCTCTGCAGAACAGAAAATCAAACCCAAGTGTGTAGAGAAAGAGACCTGAAATAAATCATCCATCCTTACGCTTGTGCATGTGCATGTGTGTGTGTGTGTGTGTGTGTGTGTGTGTGTGTGTGTATGTATGAGTGTATGTCTGCTTTGAGAAGCATAGTGTTAAGAATGTTTAGACTTGATAGATTTGGAGTCAAGAGACCTGGATTCAAATCCAGCCTCAAGACACTTGTAGAACCACAAGCAAAATTATTTAAACCCATAGAGCCTCAAGTTTCCTCAGCTGTAAAATAGGAATAATAATAATTGCAATATCTACTTACCTCCCCCAATTGATATAAGGAAAGTGCTTTAAACCTTTAAAAGCTACGTGACTATGAATTATTATTCTGTGGGCTCCCCACTGCCTCTGAGCTAGTGTGTCTGCATGGGAGAGATGGACATGAGCTCACATTGATGCGTATGAATGTGGCCAGCAGCCCTCTGGATGGTTGTTAAGTGTGAATATGCATCTGCATCCCTCCTTCCACTACCCGGACTGCTGGTGGTACACATTTAATGAACCCTTCCCCTTCCTGCCCTTCTCTGGGGCAGTCTCATGGACTCTGTCTCCCTCCCACAGGTGCTGGCCTGGTTTGAGGAAGGTGAGGAGACCATCACAGCTTTTGTTGAGCCCTTCGTTATCCTCCTCATCCTCATTGCCAATGCCATTGTGGGGGTTTGGCAGGTCAGGATCACTCCCTCTCACCCCTTGTGTGTGGTACCCTGTACTGAGTTTCTTTATCCCTCTTTATTTTGTCTCCTTTAATGAGTCACCCTGCCTTTTTGCCCTCCTCTCCTTAACATTCCCTTATCCCAACACTTTCTGACTCCCTCATTTTATGTTTCCTTTCTTGCTGGTGCCTCCAGGTATCTTTCCTCCCATTCTAGTTTCTCACACCCAACCACCAAAGACCCTGTTTTTTCCTGCCCATTTTTCCTGTCCCCTGTTTTCTGACTGTCCCCTAGCCCTTGGCTGTTTCTTTTCTCTCCCTTTCCCTCCTTGTTCACTTTCCGTCTCTGCAGCCGTTCCACATCAGCATTTCTTTCCATCCTCATATAATTTCTCCATCTTCTACTCTATCCCAGCAGCCTGCAAATACTAATACTAGTACCACTGCTCTGTTATTCCTCTGTTTTCCCTAGGTAACATTAAGGATACGTATCCCCTCACACTTATGCCTCTGTAACTTTTCTCCTTCCTAGGCTACCCTCATCTTTCAAGGACCCATTTTTCTTCCCTGACTACCATTCCCCACCCCCTGCAGCTGCCTACTTGGCTCTCCTTTCCTGCTTGAGACTCTACAGTCCTTTCCTCCCTCTTAAGGTACCTGCTGAATCATCCTTTCTTTCCCGTGCTATCTCCCCTGCAGGAGCGTAATGCAGAGAATGCCATTGAAGCTCTTAAGGAGTATGAGCCTGAGATGGGCAAAGTGTACAGGGCTGACAGGAAGTCCGTGCAGCGGATTAAGGCCCGGGACATTGTCCCCGGAGACATCGTGGAGGTGGCTGGTGAGTTCTACGTCCTGTGACTGGAAGAGAGCAGAGGAAGGGAATGGGGGAGCCTTGTGGGTTGCATATGTATGTATGCGTGTACAGAGAGAATTTGTTCATCTGTGTATGTGTCTGAATGAGCGGGGTGTCAGTGTTGAAAGGTTAAGATGGAGGAGTTGAGGTGCAAGGAGATTGGGAGGGAGAGGTAGAAAAGTCTTAGCTCCTCCTTCCCAGACTCCTAAGGAGGTCACCCCAGGGCATTCAGTCTTCTCCCCTCATCAGCGCCCCCCAGCAGCTGCCCCCTTCTAGAGTCTCAACAGGAACAGCTAGTCCTGTCCCTGTTGCTGAAAGCAGAACCCCCTGCCGCCCCCCCCTTCCCTCACCCGGCACTTGTTAGCAACAGGTGTACCCAGGGCCCTGCCAATGGGCCCCATCACCCCCACCCCTTGCTTAGCTTCCCCCTCCTTCCCCCACCCCAAGCTTTGTCAGCTATAAATCTTGACCTCTCAGTGCCCTTGAGGAGTCTCAGAGGAGAAGGAGTGTGGGTGGCAGAGAGATCAAGCCCCCGGCCATGTATGGAAAACATGGGCGACTGAGAGAGCACGAGACCGGTGTTGGGGAGGGGTGGAGGGTTGTGGGTTGGGAGGGAGTTTGAAGAGTGTCCCCGCCTCCTAGAAACCGAGGGACACTTAATGCCTAACTGGGGAGAGGGGTGGGGGCCAGGCGGCTAAGATTACGAGGATTCTGTCCCCTTCAGCGGTTTTTATATTTGCACTTCTGCCCAGGGCTTCCCTCCATCCCTAAGGCCCCTCTGACATATATAAATGCTCTCCCTGTACCAGTACCCTGTTATGAGAGTATGGAGATTCTGGGGAGGGGAGCCAAGCGGAGAGGTGGGTGCTGAGGATTTCCCTCCTGTGCCCCAACACAGCGATTCGGAGCCAGGGCCATGACTATCTATAAATACTGCCCGGGTAGGGTGATAGGGTGTCCCGACATCAGCCAGCTTCTTCCCTCCTTTGTATCCTCTGTCCTCAGGATGGGTGGTCCCAGGGATGACTGGGGTGGTTTTCCTGCTCCCCTATAATGGAAGGAAGGAGAGTAAGAGTGTACCCTTCCCCCCAGGACCATCCAGAAGGGTTGAATTTGTTAGGCTGAGGTCCCAGAGAATGTTTTTCTGTTCCCTGAAAGGTCTTTAAGTTGGAGAGGTCGTCATCCCACAGCATGACATCTGTCTGTTCAGTACTGAATTCCTAGTATTAATGGATATACTCATGGGTCTCCTAGTTCTGAGTCTATGTTCTCTGTTCCCAATCTGTGTGTGCATCTCTCTCTTTTTTCTTTTTCTTCTTTCACCTCCTTCCCCCATTTTTCTATCTCATTTTCTCTTTCCCCATCTTCCTCCCTTACCTCAGTTTCTCCTGTTTTCTTTATCCCAACTCGTTCTTTCATTAGCTTAATTTTTTCCATTTTTTTCCTTCCCTAAGCTCATTAGCAGGCTTGTTTCCCTAACTTGTCTGCTGCTAGTCATATGATCTGCAATCTCATTGTTAGTCTGCCCCACATTCTTTCAGTCAGTCAGTTATTTAGCAAATATTAATCACCACTGTGTGCCCATGTGGAGCATTGTGTTAGGCAGTGGGGAAATTTGAAGACATAGTCCTAATCCTCATGGAACTCACAGACAGAAAAACCTCTTTTGTATTATGGATCCCTTCAGCAGTCTGGTGAGGCCTAACCCTAACTCTTCTCATAATATTTTTAAATGCATAAAATAAAATACACAAGATTACAAAGAAAACAAATATTTGAAATTGTGTCAATTTTTTTTTTAAGTTCAGGGACCCAAGATTAAGACCCTTATAAAGTCTAGTGGGAAGGTAAGACACAGACCACTATTAAAGAGGTTCAAAACCAAATTCTACCAGCAATCTGAGGAGGAACTTTGTTTCTAAGTGGAGGATTCAGGGAAGACTTCCTGGAAGAAGTGACCTTTGTTGAGTGGGAATTCAATTTCAGAGACCAGTGGGGAGGGCACAGAAGTGGGAAAGTGATGAATTTATCTGACTTTCTCCCCTCACTTTATTTCCTGGCATACCATTTCTCTTCTTCTCTTTACTATTCTCCTTCTGCCCTCCTTCACTTTATCTTGTCTTGTCTGATTTTTCCCCATTCTCTCAAGTTTTTCTTAGTCCTGTTTTGCCTTCCCTCTTTCATGACTGTTTCTTCCTCCTTTCCCTAGCTTCTCTTTCAAGCTCATCTATTTCTCTCATGTTTACCTTTTTTTTCTTCCTTCTTTTACTTGGCTTCATTTCGTCTTTCCCTCTCATTTCTTTCTCTGACCTTTTCTGCCTATCCATCCTCAGGTCCTTTTAGCATAGTGCTTCCTTATTAAAAAATATACATACATATATGTAATTATGTACACACACACACACACACACACACGCACACATGGTGTTCCTATCCTCTGCTTTTATATAATTGACATTTTTGAATATGATCCTCATCCTTCATTCAGAGAGCCAACTCTCATAATGTAAAATTAAAAGTTAAATATGGGGGACAAAAGCAATTCATCAAAGTTAAAATACATCAACAAGTCCTACATTAGATGTCCTGCACACACAGGACTACACATCTGCAAAGAAGGGAAGAAAGCATATTCTCATACAATTTCTTCAGGGCCAAGTTCAGTTTGTATAATTACAAAGCTTTCATTTTTTTTTATGTTCTTTCCATTCACATGGTTGTAGTCACTGTGTATGCTGTTGCCTGGATTCCACTTATTTGACTTTGCCTCATTCAGTTCATCTGTGTTCCCATTTTTCTCCATATTCATATTCACTGTTTCTTATACTTCAGTAATATTCCATAACATGAATGTACTATAATTTAGTTATTAGTTATAATTTAGTTGCCCAATTGATAGGCACCTAGTTCATTTTCAGTTCTTTGCTACTACCAAAAAAAAAAAACCAGATGCTACTGTCAACATTTTGTGTATAAATGAGATCTTTGTTCTTATTTTTGACTTCTTTGGGATGTATGCCTTGCAGTGTGGGCATAGTAGGATGTAGAAATTCTAGTCACTTTCTTAGCATAATTCCAGATTGCTTTCCAGAATGATTAGACCAACTCCTCCCTCTGTCAATAGGGTAGCTTTCCATAATACTTCAAAAATTGACTATTCACATCTTTAATCATCCACGCCAATGTGCTGGGTATGAGGTGAACCTTCAGAATTGTTTTGATTCACATCTCTTTTATTATGAGTGATTTCGAACAATCTTTTATATGGTTTTTCATAGTTTCCAGTTTTTTAGGGGGAAATGTTTGTTTATCTCCTGTGACCACTGGGGAATGGTTCTTGGTCTTATCTATTTGTGATAGTTTCTTATATACCTTGAATTTCAGACCCTTATCAGAGATATTTAATACAAAAAAATTTTTTTTCTGTCAAATATTTCATGTCCTAGCTGCAAATGTAGCCTGGATTTTGTTCATAGTGTACTGTTTCAGTTTCGCTTTATGCATCTTGTTACTAATAAGTTATCCTTTTGTCCCTAGATATATCTTTCTTTCTCCTCTTGTTCCTCCCACAGTTTCCAGGAGTAAAGAAACAAGTTTTTCCTTCCAACTGACTTTTTTTCTTCCCTCCACAGTGGGTGACAAAGTTCCTGCAGATATCCGTATCCTGTCCATCAAATCCACTACCCTTCGGGTTGACCAGTCCATCCTGACAGGTGAGAGGTGGCCTAGGTGAGAGGTTCTACTAGGTGGAAGAAGAGACAAGGTCTTTGAATGAGAAAGAGAGGAGAAAGATAAAATCTTGGAAACACAGAGGGATAGAGATCCTCAGGATAGGGGAAAATGACAAATGACTAGATCCTTCGCAGGGTTTCTGGTGGCCACTGTCCTTTGTTTCAGTGTTTTCCAAACTTTTCCAGTTTGTGACATCTGAGGGTCTATTGGGATACATGAGAGGTGTGGGGAGGAGGAGGGAGTGTTATCTCCTCACCTGTCCTCAATCCATCTATCTTTACATTCAAATCCCCCACTCCAAACTGCATTATACTCTGTGCAGGTATTTTGACTTCATCCTGTTTTCTTTCTCTAAAATATCTATTTCTCTCCTTACTTCAAAAACTGGCATGGAGGAAAGCTAGGATGTTGTTATACCTCAAAGGACCCCGACAAATTGTTTGGAAAATAATATCCTGTTTCTCATAGACTTTTAGAGCTGGAAAGAACCTTAGAGATCATCCTGTCCAACCTCTTTCTCCATGGAGGAGGAAGGGCAGGGAATTGGTGGGAGTCCCTCTTCAGGCTGAGGGAGTCCAGGACTTAAGCAAGGGTGTCTCCTACCAGAGTATGCTTCAACCTGACTCTTTTAAACCATGATCTGTCCCTTAGTGATAGAAAACAAGTGGGAGTCCTTGGGAAAGAGGACAAGTTTCTTAATTCCTGGAGCCATTTGAGCTTAATGAGGGAGCACTGACAGAATGATGTTCCTTGGAGTAGGCTTACTCCAAGAAGGAGAGGAGCAATGTAAAACCAGAAGGATGAAACAGAATCAGGTTAACTCTCTTGCCCCTTCTCTTTAGGTGAGTCGGTGTCTGTCATCAAGCACACAGATCCCGTCCCTGACCCACGAGCTGTCAACCAGGACAAGAAGAATATGCTTTTCTCGGTGAGTGTCTCGGACTCAGCTGTGGCACACTGGCACTGGAGGAGCAGTGGGCCAGGGCTATCCCTCTGGAGTGTGGGAGGTGGTGGGAGATGAGGGAATTGTGTCAGGGTGAAGGTTGGAGAATCCTCACCAGTCCTTCCCAGAGTGTGCCCATCTTCCAGTGAGATCAGAGGCCTCTGTGGGGCATGGGAGATGGTGCCGTCCCCCTGGCCTGATTTATCTGTGTCTGGTCCCCACCTCCCAGGGCACCAACATTGCAGCAGGAAAGGCAGTAGGTATTGTGGCAACCACCGGAGTGAGCACAGAGATTGGGAAAATTCGGGACCAGATGGCAGCCACGGAGCAGGATAAAACGCCCCTGCAGCAGAAACTGGATGAGTTTGGGGAGCAGCTGTCTAAGGTCATCTCTTTGATCTGCGTGGCCGTCTGGCTCATCAACATCGGCCACTTCAATGACCCTGTCCACGGGGGCTCCTGGTTCCGCGGTGCCATCTACTACTTCAAGATAGCTGTGGCCTTGGCTGTGGCGGCCATTCCCGAAGGTGTGAGAAACCTCCTTTACATCCCCTTTGCTTCCCCATCACCCCATCTGCCTGCTGTCTGTCCTGCCTACTGAGTTCTGTCCCTTAGCCGTTCCCTCTGCGCCCCCACCTGGCCCTAAATGGAAGAACGTCATCTGTTCCCTAATGTGCCCAATTCGCCTCATTGTCTGGTCATGCCTTAGCACAACGGCTTCTTTCCAGGGTACCATGATGTACCTGGGATGGCACCACAGCAGGCCCTTTATTTTCCTATTATCTCTCATGACTGCCCCTTCTAGGGACTCCCCTCACTCCTTACCCCCTCATCTGACCTCCAGGTCTGCCGGCTGTCATCACCACCTGTCTGGCCCTGGGCACCCGTCGGATGGCAAAAAAGAATGCAATTGTGAGGAGCCTGCCCTCTGTGGAAACTCTGGGCTGCACCTCAGTCATCTGCTCTGATAAGACAGGCACCCTCACCACCAACCAGATGTCTGTCTGCAAGGTCAGTGGACGGATCCCCCGTGGATTCTGGGAGGGCAGTTAACCCTTGGCTCCCAGTGATTGGGGTGGGATAAGGTGTCAGATTAGCACTCCCCCCACTTTACCCCTTATTACTTGCAACCACTTATTTTGCCCTTGAAAAAGCATTAACTGAAGGTGGCACTGATACTTAGTATGCAGAGTCGACCGAGGTCACCCTTTCTCTGTGTTCACCCTATAGAAGGAGAGGGCCCTTCCCTCTCAACCCAGCCGCTCTCACTGCCTCCCAGGCAGGCCACTTCCCTGGCTCAGCTTCGAAAACAGAATAGATTGATGTTAACTTTAGAATACTCACTGTTATAAATAAGACTCCATCCTTGCCCTGATTACAGAGTGTAAGGAAAGCTTGAGGGAAATTTGGTGGGGGAGGATTAAGGTGAGCTAAAAGCATATGCACGCTTGATGCCTGCTCATACCACCATTAGTCTGGGAAATATGGGAGAGGGGAGAAATACTTCCCTTAATACTGACAGCTAACTTCTTTGTTGTATGTCTAATTCCAGGAGTGAGCTTAGGGCATTTTTAGAGAGAAGGGAGATGCCAAGAATTAGATATCTGTCTAGATAGTGAAGGTTACCCATCTTGCTGACTGCATCCAGTCTTGGTTGCCTAATCAGATCTGAGGGAGGCTCTTTCTTAACCATTCTGTCTCCCCTTTTCCCTCCTGCAGATGTTTGTCATTGATAAGATCGATGGGGATTTCTGCTCTCTGAATGAATTTACCATCACTGGTTCCACTTATGCCCCTGAGGGTGAAGTGTAAGTGGCCAAGATTTCCCTCCCCACCCTTCAGATTATCCCTTTTTCCTTCAGCCTTGTCTTTCTTCCATATAACCCTTTTGCCTAGAATCTCTCTCTCTCTGGGTCCTACATTCAATCACTGTTTCTTTTACCTTCCTCTGCTATTTTTGTCTTCTCCTTCCCTTCCCCTCCAGACTTACTCTCTCCTACCTTCCCTGTCCTATGTTCCATGGGTTACCCACCACTTTTCTTTACTATCCCTTTCTGACCACCTGTTCACTGCTTTTCCAATCCACCCCATTCCCTGTCCTTCTCTGCCTTTCCCTTTCCCTCTGTTTTCCCCTTCATGCTCCCTCCCAACCCCCCACAGCTTGAAGAACGATAAGCCAGTGCGGGCAGGTCAGTACGATGGGCTGGTGGAGCTGGCCACCATCTGTGCCCTCTGCAATGACTCCTCCTTGGACTTCAATGAGGTGAGGACCATGAATAACCTCAGTTCCCAAGCTAAACTCCTACTCAGTGATTGCCCTCCAGCCAGCACAAAGGGAAATCCAAGGAAAAAGTGGGAGAAGCTGAATTCTTTCCTGGTTTGGGGTGGGATGGGAGGAAATGGTAGGTTTCCACCTCCCTTTTCTCTCTCTCTCTCTCTAAGCATTATTAATAGGAGTTGTATTTGTTCTCCTGTGTGTGTGTGTGTGTGTGTGTGTGTGAGGAGAAGATGGGTATCTGGGGAATGGAAAACATTCTCTAACCATTTCTACTGTTACTTCTACTCACATCAGTCCAAAGGTGTTTATGAGAAGGTTGGGGAGGCTACAGAGACGGCACTCACCACCCTGGTGGAGAAGATGAATGTTTTCAACACAGATGTGAGAAGTCTCTCCAAGGTGGAGAGGGCCAATGCCTGCAACTCTGTGAGTCTAAGAAGCTCCCTTCAACCATGGGGGGTGGGGCATTAGGAAGGACACAAAACTCGAGTCACAATTGAGTTTGAATTCTAGCTCCAGTACTTACTCCATGTGCAGCCATTCTAATTGGGAATAATAATATTTATCTACCCCAACAGGGTCATTGTGAGGACAGCATTTTATAAACCTTAGAGGGCACAGAAATATGAGTTACCATGATTGTTTCTAACCCCTTTCTGCCCTTCATAGTACATTTTAAAGACCATTTCCTCGTGGAGATGAACAGAATTGGTTTCCATTCTTGTTTTTTTTCTTTCCTTTTTTTTTTGTGACTTGCCCAGGGTCACAGCTAGTAAGTGTCAAGTGTCTGAGGCTGGGTTCGAACTTGGGTCCTTCTGACTCCAAGGCCAGATATCCACTGTGCCACCTAACTACCCCAGTAGCTTTCCATTCTTTAAAATGTTTGGCAGGAAGACCATTATTTCCCCAAATCACTTCCTACTTCCAGGCTAAATAATCTCATTTCCTTTCACTTTTACTCCTACATCATATTCTTAACTTGTTAAGGCATTTTTATGGCTCTAGCCTGTTTATGTTGTGCTCTAAATGAGACATGATGCTGATACAGTGAAGGACTTTTTTCCCCTCTTTATCCTATCTGCATAGGCATCATAGCCTAGTGGTTAGAGTGCAGGGCTTAGAATCAGAAAGCCATGGCTTCAAATCCCACCTCTGAAACTTAGTAGTGTTCCTCTCAGAAGTTACTTAGCTTCTCTGGGTGCTTCACACAGACCCCTAGGACTGGGAGAGGAAATTCTCTACACTGAAGAAAATCCCTGTATGAAGGACCGAACTTAGTTCTACACTAATACTTCTGGGCTGTGGTCTTCTGTGGTCTCCAGACTTCTGTGGTCTGTGGTGTAACCTGATTTCATGATGCTGTCTCATCGTCTTCCTCCCCACTCCACCCCAGCCAATCTATGTCTAATCTCCGCGTGAACTCAAACCCAACCTCTTTCCCCCTCCACTTTTCCAGGTGATCCGCCAGCTGATGAAGAAGGAATTCACCTTGGAATTTTCCCGTGACAGGAAGTCCATGTCTGTCTATTGTTCCCCAGCCAAGTCTTCCCGGGCTGCTGTGGGAAACAAGATGTTTGTCAAGGTTAGAGCCCAGAGTGGTACTATTAACTGCTCCCTGGGCCCCAGGAAAGGCCCTCCCCCTCTGTTACCAAAAGCCCAACTGGTCTCCTGTCCTTTGCAGTGGTAGGCCGAGCTGTCACCTTACTTTATACTCTTTCACGTTCTTGAGGAAGAGCAGAGGTTTCTAAGGTCTATTTCTTTTCTTTTAGGGTGCTCCTGAGGGGGTCATTGACCGTTGTAATTACGTGCGAGTTGGCACAACAAGGGTGCCACTAACAATGCCAGTGAAGGACAAAATCATGTCTGTGATCAAGGAGTGGGGCACAGGCCGGGATACCTTACGCTGCTTGGCCCTGGCCACCCGGGACACTCCACCCAGGCGAGAGGAGATGTCACTAGAAGATTCTGGCAAGTTCTTAGAATATGAGGTGAGTTAGAGAGTGACTTCCCCTGACTCCAACCCTACATAGTTTCACTTTTCTCCTGGTTTGACCCACCCTCTGAGCCACTATTAAAAGCACAGACTTGGAGGTGAATGACATTTCTGTTTAACTTTTGTGTCCCTGTGTCACACCTCTTATCCCCCATTTTCCCATCCTCATGCTCACTCTGCCCCCCTGGTAAATCTGGGTTCTCTGGAAGATGTACTAGTTTTCCACCCAACTATTCTTCAGATGGATTTGTTAGGTCGGGGAACTCTCTTCCCCATGGCTGTCCTGAATTACTTCCTATCTCTGTTTCCCCTTACATTTCTGTCTGAGCTCAGAATCCTTTTGTTCTGTCTTCTCAGGTGGATCTGACATTTGTTGGGGTAGTGGGGATGTTGGATCCACCCCGCAAAGAGGTCACAGGGTCTATCCAGTTGTGCCGTGATGCGGGAATCCGAGTCATCATGATCACAGGTGACAATAAGGGTACAGCTATCGCCATCTGCCGGCGCATTGGCATCTTCGGGGAGAATGAGGAGGTGACAGGCCGAGCCTATACAGGTCGGGAATTTGACGATCTGCCCCTGGGAGAGCAGCGGGACGCCTGTCGCCGCGCCTGCTGCTTTGCCCGTGTTGAACCTTCCCACAAGTCTAAGATCGTTGAGTACCTGCAGTCCTTCGATGAGATCACTGCAATGGTGAGGACTTGGGGGGCAGAGTGGGGAGGTAGGGGGAGGGACAGGGACCTGGGGGGAGGTACGGTAAAGGGCTCTCAGATCCTCTGATGAGACTATAGTGATGGGGGTGCAGAGAAGAGCCATGGGAACGGAGGAGACAGCCAGAATGAGAGTGAGGGAATGGCATGAGGAACTGGGAGAATATGGTGAGGACAATGAAGTGGGACGTATAAAGCAGTTGGATAAGAGTAGCGTGTCGGCTGTCTGAAGCTGGTCAGTTCCGGGTTCCTTTGAGTACACATGCATCTCCTCACCCTGCAGACTGGGGATGGTGTGAATGATGCCCCAGCTCTGAAGAAGGCCGAGATTGGTATTGCCATGGGCTCTGGTACTGCTGTGGCCAAGACTGCATCGGAGATGGTGCTGGCAGATGACAACTTCTCCACCATCGTGGCTGCCGTAGAGGAAGGCAGGGCCATTTACAACAACATGAAGCAGTTTATCCGATACCTCATTTCCTCCAACGTTGGGGAGGTCGTCTGGTGAGCTACTTTCATGAGGGGGAGAGGGGAGAGTCAAGAGCTGGGGAGATAGCACATCTTCAAATGCAGTAGCTGGGGAAAGAGAGGGAAGTCCTTCTCTTCTTCAGAAGAAGAGGCCTGGTAATCAGAGTGACTGACTTCCACCACCCCCTTTTCCTTCTCCTGCAGTATCTTCCTTACAGCAGCCTTGGGACTACCTGAAGCCCTGATCCCTGTACAACTGTTGTGGGTAAATCTGGTGACTGATGGGCTTCCAGCCACAGCCCTGGGCTTCAACCCTCCAGATCTGGATATCATGGACCGTCCCCCAAGAAGTCCCAAGGAGCCCCTTATTAGCGGCTGGCTGTTCTTCCGCTACATGGCTATTGGGGGTGAGGATCCCTTCTCCTATAACCCTATCTTTCTCCCCTCACCACCAGTTCCCAATCCTTTGTCAGTAACTCCTTTTGAGAACTTCTCTGTCCCATAGGGCTTAACTCCACTTCTACCAGGGACATCAGTTCCCACTGTTTCTAGCTCCTGTTTCTTCCCATATGGCCCATCTCTGGGCTTCTGAATCTTCAGCCATCTCTCTCTCATTGCCGCACCCTCTCCCCTACCCCCGACCCTGGCTGGTTCCCCATTCCTTTCTGTAACCTTCCTTTTCTGTCTTCTCCTTTCCCTCTAGGTTATGTGGGTGCAGCCACAGTAGGCGCAGCAGCTTGGTGGTTCTTGTATGCCGATGATGGGCCTCGTGTCACCTATAGCCAGCTGGTGAGGAGGGGAATGGCTAGCTGTTGGATGGGCTGGTTCCCCAGAAGAGGACAAAGGAAAGGTGGCAGACCCAGGGAATTATATAGGGGAGATTGTACCACATGAATCAGAAAGAGGGGTGTTCTGAGGCAGCAGTAAGGAAATTATCTCCAGTGCCAAACTCTGATCCTCACTTCACTCTACAGACTCACTTCATGAAGTGCACAGAGGAAAATTCTGACTTTGAGGGTGTGGACTGTGAGGTCTTTGAAGCCCCTGAGCCCATGACCATGGCCTTATCCGTGCTGGTCACCATTGAGATGTGCAATGCTCTCAACAGGTGAGGATGCTGCTCCTTTAGAGTCCCCGTTACCACATCCCCCTTTTCACTGGACACTGTCCTCCTTGTCCCCACTTTTCTGAATTGTTCCTCTGCCTTCCCTGTTCTTTTCCCCACCACTGCCCTTGCTGCTGTCTTCCTACTTCAGCCTCTCAGAGAACCAGTCCCTACTTCGGATGCCCCCCTGGGTGAACATCTGGCTCCTTGGCTCCATTTGCCTCTCCATGTCTCTCCATTTCCTTATCCTTTACGTCGATCCCCTACCGGTGAGAAAGTCCTGTGCCCTGAAGTCACAAGTAATCTACTTTCCCTTGGACTCAGGTCCTTGGGCCAGGGTTCATTGAAGGATGATAGGGCTGTCAAGGGGGTGAAGAGAACACGGGGACTAGGTGGAGATGTTGATCTCAGCCCTGGGTCCTGTGCAAGAACGTAGTTGGGTTTTCTGACCTTCCTCCTGGGATCCCTTAGCCAGACCAGGGATAGTATCACAGGCTGTCGCTCACTTTGGGCCCATCCACAGATGATTTTCAAACTGCGGGCGTTGGATGTAACCCAATGGCTGATGGTTCTCAAGATCTCACTGCCTGTCATCGGTCTGGATGAAATCCTCAAGTTTGTTGCCCGGAACTACCTAGAGGGTAAGTTGTCTCCCATCCCAAGCACCTTGAGACCCTAACTCTCCAGGGCTGCAGGTGCAGCCCCTCTGCGCTGCTCCATGTCCCTCTCTCCCTCTTCCCCCTCAAAAATCTTCCTTTCCAGGTGGAAATATGTCTCCCAAGCTCTGACCAGACCTGTGTCTGCAAAGGAACAAATCAGATCTCTTATTTCTTCTGTTTCCTCCTAACCTTGGTCCAATCTCCACGTCCTCTCACCCTAAACTGTTGGCGTCTCAGTCCCATCCTCTACCCCCTTCTATCGCTAACTCGATTCTCTCTGTCCTCTCTGGCTGTAGGGTAACCTGTTTTTCCCTCCTTCATCTCTTTGAATCCGTGTCACAGGTATCACCCTCCTCTTCCCTTTCCTTCATCTCCTCCAAGCTGCTGTCCCCTGCCTGCCCCTTCCCACCTCCCTTGATCCTTTCAGTCCCTTGCGCCTGCTGCGCCATGCTGGAGCCTAATCTGCTGCTGTCCAAGAGAATGGGGCTGCTGATGCACTTTGTGGAAGTTCTGGACTTCCTTGGTCTTCCTTGGAGGTTGTCCTCTTCTCCCAACCCTGGGAGTTCTGTGATCTTACACTGCGCTGAGCGGGGCAGGGCTGAGAGCTGCTCATGGGCATGCATGGGGGATGACTGGGAAAGTGGCAAAGATGGAGACAGGGAGAGGTGAGTATGGAGAGGGGAAGAGCATAGGGGGGAAAGGATCCAGAGAATGAGCCCCTTTTCAAGAAAGGGTCACACCTGCAGGTGAGTGCTGTCCCTCTAAGAGAGGGTCCCAGGGCTTGCAGAGGTGGGTAGAAATCACACTAGGGTAGTGGATAGTCTTTTCTCCCCCAACCCTCTTTATCCCTATCCCTTCACTCATCCCTTTCCATTCTCTTTCTAGATCCAGAAGATGAAAGAAGGAAGTAACCAGCCCCCTGGTCCCCAATCCCCTTCACAGCCACTTTCTCCCCACCCTGGTAGAGAAATACATCTTCAGCGGGTGATGTGGCACAGCCTCCCAGGATCCTCTCCCCAAAGCCATTCCTCCCCTCTTCTCCCGTCTGTTCCCTCCCAGTCCCCCTTTCATTTTTCTGTTTATAAAACACCACTTCAACCCTCTATCCCTCTTCCCACCTCAGGCTCCCTTCCTCTTTTTACCCACCCACTGGCCCTGCCGCAGGGGCTGTAGGGACAAGGCGACCCTCTAAGCTGCTAATTTATTGACATTAAAGGAGAGTAAACTCTGGCCTAGACTTCCATGTATGAGAACAAAAGCAAATCTGGTTAAGTCACGTATGAGAGCACGTTAGTGTAATGCACACGTGAAAGCGGCTGTGGCCAGGATGCATCCTACACATATTGAGGTTTCACCATTACCCCCAGGGCACTGCAGAGGGGAGTGGGAAGAGGGAAGGGCTGCTACAACAAAGATGGGGGGAGCGGGGGGGGGGTAACAGTCCATGGGACCAAAGGGTTCACAAGCTGAATTAGTGTCAGTCTTGGCTGAAGGGCAGTGTGGGTTGGGGGCCCTAGTGGGAAGAGCTTCAAGAACATGCTCTTGGCTTTGGCTGGGGGAGGAGGGCTCATGACCCTCTCTCGCTTGTCATCCCTGAGAGCAGAAAGGCCCATTACTGGCTACGGGGGGGGGGGGCAAGAACTAGATGGGACAGAGCCCCTCCGCTGCTGGCCCAGGGGAGGGGACTGAGTTTTCCTGAGGGGGCAGAAGGCTATGTTTCATTATCCCCAAACCCCAGAAATCCTTGATTTTGCCGGAGTCTAAGAAGGCAGGTTCTTTCCCCAGAGATGTGTGAGGGGGGAGGGGAGACAGCAAGTATTGATGCCCAGCCTCCGGCTGTGTTCAGGTGTCCTTTATGTCCTTCACATCTCTTAGGGGGGTCTCATCCACAATGTTTCGCACCTGGTCCAGTGTCTCTGCCTGGCGAATCCTCTCCAGGCGTACCTGTGGGGGACGGGTTGCGTGAGGCAGAGAAGTGTTCAGCTCTCCCTTCCACCCCCAACTGATAAATCTAAGACTCTTTTCCCTGGTCCTTGGGGGACTATAGTAGCCATCAAGGGAAGTCTGGGGATGGTGCAATCACAAAATGGCAGTGTTATGTAAATCTGAGTAAATTGCTTCATGTTTGGGCCATCTCAGTGGGAAGGAAGGGGACTACAGCTCAAAGGGTCAGCCCAGCTTGGACATCCAGTATTCTGTCACTGTACAGATGTAAGCCTCAGCCGTTGTTTTTCTCTTTGATTCTCTCTCGGCAGCAGCTGGCTGGAGGGGCTGCCTCCTGCAGGGAGTCATGCTCAGTGTAGATGCCTGGTCAGGACACTCCTCCCCACATCACACCCTTACTTGGGCTCCCATTCATACCTGCAGGGCCTGGGACAGCCGAACAAAGTCCCTTTGTACTTGCTCACTCGTCTCCAGCTCAGCCTGAAGCCTTAACACCTTTGCCCTTTGTTCTGAGAGGAGGTTTGTGAGCTGAGCCTGGTAGGGGTGGAAGCAAAGGGAAATGTGTAGCCCTAGACGTCAGGTCATCTACCCTCCACCCCTGTGGCACCACCAGGACAGGGGAGGAAGAAGAGAAAAGGAGGCACGGGCCAAGCCTGTGGCAGAGGAAACAGCATCACCACCTCCCTATTCCCATACTATGGCCACAGCAGGTGGAGAGAAGAGTGTGAGTGGGGTATGAAAAGCCAGGACATGGGTCTCCCTCTCCACATGAATATAACCTGCCCGGCTTGCTCAGACCTTCTCCTCGGTCCAGCTGACAGCTGGGGGGGGTGGCTGCCTCGAGGGTGCCTGAAGCTGCTGCTCTGCCTGCTGGGGAGGGTGGGGAGAAAGACGACCCCTTTAACTTGCCCCTAGAAACCTCTCCCTCCCACATTCCTGTCCGTCCGAAGCCCTCACCTTGCTCTGCTCCTGCTGGATCCGTTCCATCTCTGTCCTTAGGCTACACAGGGAGGCTGGGAGGTCAGGGGGTCAAAGCAGATCCATTACCTCCCCCATCACCTCCTTCTCCCTCCTTCCATCCCCCTTCTAGCCCAGCCTCTGCCTTCTTATACTCACCCTCCAAAACCTCTGTGTTGTCATGGCAACAGGGGAATGGAAGAAAAGGAGAAGAAAACGGTGTCAACCCTTGGCATCTCTCTCTCCACCTCCCTGGGTGTGTCCGGCACCTTCCCGGAACATGCTGATCCATTTGTGTTGGCCGCCCCCTCACCTGTTTCCTCCCGCTGAACCCTCAACTCCCTCTCTAGACCAGCCCTTGAGGCCGTCTCCTCTTCCAACGCCTCCCTCAGCGTCACAATTTCGATCCGCAGTCGCTCGGCTTCATGCTCCTGGGCACGCTGACATTCCCGGGCTTCTTGCCGGGTGCTCCGTACCAACTGCTGCAGCTCCTGGAAAAGAAAGATGCCAAAGACTGGTGCAGAGGGACAGTGTTAAAGGTCACGACGTGTCACTAGCTGCTCACACGTACTAAAACAGCCGGTTAAGTGGATACCTCAGAAAACAGGAGTGCTAGAAGGAACCTGAGAGATCAACTAGTCTGTTCTCATTTATCAATGAGGAAACTGAGACCCAGAGGGGGAAGTGATTGATTTGCCTCTCCCCAATTTCTCCACATTAGTTTCTTACGGTCAGGGCAGATTCTCCAAGGCAAAAGGTCACTGAACAAGTCCTCCCTACAACCTTGGGAATCGCATCAGAGAACAGTGACTCCCCTACCTTCCCAAGCCCCCTTCTGTCCATACCAGGGCAGACGTGGGCAGCGGCAGCTCCTCTTCTCCCTGCTCTTGCTCCCGAGCCTGGGGGCCTAAAGACAAGGGTTGCCGGCACCGAAGTCCTTGGTTCTCCTCATTCAGTCGCTTTATTTCATAGCAAACACGCTTGTGAGAGGCAGCCAGCTCTGCCTGGGGCCGGGTGAGAGATGTCATTAAAAGGGGGTAATGGGGCTCAGTTACCCCCACTCCTATGGTCGGTGCAGCAGCCTGAGGTCCAAACCCACCCTGATACTCAGGAACTTTTCTCAGGAATACTCCCCAATACTGACCAGTTTCAGTTCCTGAAGACTTGCCCCACCCAACGTCCCACCGCTGGCTTCTCTCCTAACTCACCCCACATTAAGACACTTCTACTACCTACTCAACACTACCTCCTGGGCCCAAGCTTGGGGACCTAGAATGAAAGCCGCCAGCCCCTCCGCAGACTGTTCATCCCTTTTCCCTGAATTCCTGCCCCCAGCCCAAGGTCTCCTCACCATCTGGTGTTGAGCCCTCTCTTGAGCCTGGCTCACAGTCCCCTGCAAGGTCTGTAGAAGCTGCTCTGAGGTCTGCACCTGAGCCAGCAGCACCTGAACCTGGGCAAGGAGAGACAATGTCAAAGAGGCCACCATCGCCAGGGTAGCAAGGATGGAGAGAAGCAGGAAGCCCAGCAGGAACCCGTGGCCTCCGCTCGCTCCCTACCTGCTTGGCACAGTCTTCACTGCTCCGCTTCAGGGCCTCCTGGAGCTCATCCCGTTCTCGCCCAGCGCCCTCGAGCTGCCTCTGAAGCTGCTGCAGAGACTCTTGCTGCTGCCGTCCCTGACACAGAAATCCCCGTCACACAGAAGATGAAGGGAGGCCTGCACACTCAGAAGGCACTTGAAAAATCTTATAACATTCTAGATGGCAAAAGTCTTAGAGATCACTTGGTCCAGTGCCTCGCTTGACAGAGGAAATTTATGCCCTGAGAAGGGAAGTCATTTGCCTAGTGCAGGTCTCCAGGTTCCCAGTACAGGCCTCCTTCCACTACCCCACACAGCCCCCTGTGTCTCCATGCTCCTGTAATCACCCCCTTCGCCTCACCTCAAGCTGCAGCTGCTCCCACTGGTGGTCTGACACAAGCTGATAACCCGGGGGAGGGAGGTAGATGCCTTCAGGAACTAGGGTCCCTGTAGAGACAAGGGAGGCAGTC